GTATGGGATGATGGTGCGTTAAAGGGATTTATCGATTATTTTGATAGAAAGAAAATAGTAGATTTGTGTTGTTAGCAGCGACGTCAGATAGTGATCACTGCGTTAGGTGTCATCAATCGTTAGTATGTAGATGTACAAGAAGATAATTAGGTACTTAGTTGAGTCTCAGCTTTTCTAAATGCGCCGCGCGGACATTTCAGGGATCCACGTCGCAGCTACCTTTCCTAAGTAGGTACGATAAATGGTACACAAATCCTTATTTGCACGTACTGAAAAGCCGCTAGGATTGGCCCTCAAGATGCCAAGTGGTGCAACTAGAGTCCACTAAGATAAGCCAATCATTGATAGAGCTATTCTTATTGCTTTTCTCAGCCCTTGTGGCAAAGCACCACATACCTCTCTGTAGCTGTGGCTTAGTTAGAGACAAGGTTTTAGGTGTTATCTTAGGTAGGTAGTTACATCCACATTTCCCGTAGGTGTTAAAAGTTGATGAATATTTTTTACTTCAATATTATAAGAACCATATTTATCTTAACTCTATACTATACTATTATATGTGACTATGGAATAGTGTCATATACTTTGAGTAGTTATCTGACTAGTATATACTTAAGTTAGTAGTTGTGGACCAAAATGACCACCAGTTTTTTAAAGACTTTTAAACATTTCATTATTTCTAACGAAGAACTTCTTACTAATGCGATAGATACGTTCCTGAATAGAGCTAAGACTTATTAGTTTTTGAGACTTGCAAAGTTCACTTGTTCTGGACAGGTAGGTAAACAATCTCTAAAGAACCTCGCTATTACATAACATTGATAGGATAAGATAAGCTAGTTAGGCGTAATTGCAAATAAGATAAATAAAACAAAGACGTCATTGAGGGGTTATAGATCCTACTTGATAGTAGAGCATGCTTGCATATATTCCTAAGTTACTACGTCGTAGATTAGAACCCTTTGTTTATTCGTGTATACTTAAGTAAGTAGTATTATATCTATGCTTGTATAATCTACGGTGTTCAGACCGTGGGGACAAGTGCCCCTCTATTCCTTTGAAACAAGCAAAATCTGAAACATAGCTTTCCAGGAATGCATAGGCGTATTTTTCATGTTACCCACATATGTGCATACGCGCATGCTAGATACGGCACTAATTCCCGGAGTGCGTACCTAGCTAATGTATGGAACCGCTTTTTGGGACAAGTTTGCATCCGAAAAGAAAAGAATAATGTCCTACATATGTAAGTAATAAGACAGGCCCAAGAGATAGACCCAAAAACTTGCCCAAGTCGGGGTTAAGGCTACGGTGGGGGCTTTATTTGATAAACTCCTTCACCCCTCGCCCCACTAAAATAATTTTCCGGGGCGTGAATCGTCAACTACAATACAACATAGTCTTCTCAGCCATACTCGAGAACTAAAAATATCACGTATATGTTACGCGTAGTAGTTGAAGTAGCAATAGTCTTTTATCTATTGAGACTGACATATACTTGAGAGCTTATTTTATATTATATATGTAAACGTTTACGTAAGTATTACATTGCATATCAATGTCATAAGCTTGGGATCTTCCTATGTGAGCAATCATGGTTGATAAGGTAATGAAACATTATGTACATCAGAGCCTAGGCAACGGCCATTGGACCTTGGCAGTAAGTAAACAAGATCGGTTGAAATAGCATTAAACTCTAGGTTTGTATTACCCATTTAGTACATGCTACAGGGGCGGATAGAATGGGCAGGGACGGACTAAACGTGCCAGACAGGGTTGGTCGATGTAAACAGAAAGCAATGCGACAAGCGTCTCATGCTCCTTCCATTTAATTATCTCTTACACTTTTCGGTACAGTAGGGAAGGGAAGTACCTAAATAAGCACAAACACGCTTCACAGGTTCCTGCCGCAACCGCATTTCTTTATTTCCTCCCCGGTCTAACCGTTTACCGTTTACCGTCTACTGCCTGCCTTCTGCCTTAGTGACGCGCGACACACTCTTTACTATTCTTACCCCTTCACAACTATTTTTCTTCCTTCTCCTTTTCTACACATCTTCTTCTTCTTCTTCATCCCATATCCATCCCATCTCCATAATCGTCTTATAGTAAAGTACTATAGACTGTGGCCTTAAACACTTTAACGGCTTTACCCTATAATCAACACGCATCATACAAGAACGCTCAAGTCAAAATATCCAAACGTACCTATACGCGTCAGCTAAGCCAAACATAAATCACCATGGCGTTGGCGGCTGTCTACAAGCAGTTCCTTGCTGCGCCGAACTCATCCCAACTCACGGACGATGCTTCCCTCCACTACATAACCACTACTTCTAGTTACAGAGGTTCAGCCGAAATACTCAAGCACCTTAACACTACCACCAGGCTTCTCAAGAAGAAAAAGGCGGAATTCCTTACTGTCATAGAAGGTCAAAATTCCATTGCCGTCGAGATTGATACTGTACTTGAGTTTCTCACCAGTGGTGGACCCTACCTACCCGGTCTCGATGACAACTTCCTAGCTGATCGTACTGTTTATATTCCCATTGTAGGTCACCCTATATTGTTCAAACTACTCTTTCATCAAGACTTAACTAATACGCAACTTAGATGCACATTGTCACGTTTGATAATAATGGCAAGATTCTACAGGTCCGCCAGTCCTGGGATCAAGGCTCCCTACTCAAGCAGCTCGATGTTATCGGCAAGTCAGGTCGCAATTGGCCAATTCGCGACAGCAAGGAACAGATCAAGTTGATCGAAACTTGTGTCAAATCCTCGAGTAATGGCGCTTCTAGCCAAGACCCTATTGACCTTGCCGTCCGCGGTCGTGGCAACTCGAACAATGCCTTACGCGATCCCCACGCTTCTCTTGCCTTGTTCGCTCCTCGCGATGAGTCCGATGATAGCATTGCCGCTGTTATCTCCCCTAGGGGTGGAGCTCGGCCGCGACAACGCGATATTATGGAGATCTTAGGTGACGAGCCAGTCGAAGGTCCTGATCGCGATCGATCAGAATCGCCAAGCAAAGCGGTTGCCCCTAAAGCTGGCGGTGAGAAGAAGTTCCAGCCAAGCCGCCTATTTGCGGATGAAGAAACTTTAGAAGAGAGCGACCCGATCGAAGACGTTGCTTCTCCTAATCGTTTCTACCGCCCCAACCCCCAGAAGTACAGTCACTTTGACTTCGACGATGGCTCTAACGAACCCGAGCAGGCTCCGCTACCAAACGAAACAACCCCTGTAAAGACCAAACATACCAGTCAATGGTCTTTTGATGACTTCGTTACCCCACACAAAATAAAGCCGTCTAAGATCTTGCAGGAGAAGAATGCTCGTCATTGGGGAAATGAGGATGATGAAGTGTTGGATAGTCCAGAGCGCAAGCCTGTACTCCCTAAACCTCGTCGTGACGCCGAACCCCATTTCGAATTCATAGATGATGGCGTTCCTAGTGGTGCGCCTCGTGCTACACGTCCCCGCGGCTCAACGCATAACAATGGGCTTGGCTTGTACAAGAACAATTTGTACAACGAGGACGGAAATGGGACACCTCCTGCTAGTGGGCCTCAACCCCTGGGAGCCATTACGAACTTAAAGGACCGCGGTCGAGATTTCGAATCTCACTGGGACATGACGGACAAATCGCCAGCCCAAAAGCCACAGTCCAAGCCCGCGGTGGGAGAAGACCGTAAAAAAGCCGTCAAGATGATGGATGCTAACTGGTCGAACTATGACCAATCTCCTGTACCAAAGGAAAAAGAAAACAAACCTATTAGTATGGCTAAAGGTCCTGGACCTGACGGCGAGCGAGGGATCCACATCGGTGGTGACGGAATGGGCGGCGGTAGAGGCTCCAACCGCAACTGGCTATTCGGTGACGATGATGATGATCAGAGTGCTACGCCAGCACCCAGGAGAAAGGCCCAGCCTGCAACCGCTACGACTTTCAATTGGGATTTCTAGATCATCTTGCATAATTCCCGACGTCGGAAGAGAAACTAAACCAAATGATAATTAATGCAAACATTACCAACTATTATGTATGAAAACGCCTAAATGCCGCTCATGAATTACGAGAAGAATGCAAGAGGAAGCAAGTCTTTTGTGTCTGCGAGGCAAGAGTTATAGGATATTCTCTGGACAGGTGATTGGTCTTTGAGGTTTGGTTGAGTATAGGTTCTTGTGAATCAGCCATATTACAATACCGCGTTAGATCACTATTGCAGCAATAACAACAATCGATGGAGTTGATACCATGGCTAGAATTATTCGAGCAACTTACTTTGCTGCTGTTCTCCTAGCTTCGGCTATACAATTGCCTTTGCTGTGTACATTCTGTCGGCTCGCATGTAATTAATTTCCTTGATTCCTATTAATTATTATCAGTGTACAATGAATCCAGAGGGATATATTATCCTTATAATTTCACGTGAAGTGTGACATGTATATCAAGTCGGTAATTAGTCTAGTATGACAGTAAGTGGTATTAGATCCTAAAATTAAGGAATGTAACTCGACAGTAACTATAACTAAAATATAAACACTATTGTATAAATCACAAGTAATTGGACCTCTCGATGGTTCACAGGTACAATATGAGACTAATGGTACTCTACTTCAAGGTTTTTTGCTCGTACATCCAACTAATGCTACCTATCTATGTAACAGATCTAGACGCAGTCCTTAATATTCCATCGAAGCCTTTCGTTGGCCGGAAGAACACCAACAGAGCCTTGATATCAAAACCCGCAACACATAAACAAATTAAATCAGAACGCCCTGGACCCGTAGCGCTACCCATTCCAATATAGTAATACAAGAGGCCTGAAACCCCCTATTCGACGACCCGAACCTCTCTCCCTTAGATCGCCGTTAGTAAGACGCCACATTCTAGCCTCGTAGTGGTCTATAAAGCTAACAGACTAACAACCCAGAAAAGAAAAAGCAAAAAAAAAAAAAAAAAAGGCAGCGCAGCATAAATCATAACAACCCTCCCTCTACTAACACAAAAACTTATACATCCTCTTCCACTTCGGCCACACCTTCCTCTCCTCCGCCTCTTGCGCAAGCAGAATCGGGAGATTAAAATCTCTCCGTCCCGTATCTATATCCATATCAGCGACCTTAATAAACGAGGTGTGCGCCCAGTACCTATGGGCGACGTAAAACACAACCACCACCGGGAACGCCATATACTGCAGAAAGAAGTTCTGCGCGAGCTCGCTAGGCGAGAGCTCTTCCCAGCCGACGGGACGAGCGCCGACCCAAAACTGGGCGATGAGGACTAGGATGTTGAAGAAAAGACCGAGGTAGGATCCGAACACGCCGCATTGTGACTTAAAGGCCAGCTCGCGCAGACTATGGCCTTTTAGGGCCCAGGCGCGGCGGAACCGGATGTGCGCTAGGCAGATGGAGGCCCAGGTAAAGATGGAAGAGAGGCCCGATATAGCGACGAGCCAGTCGAGCACGACGCTTTGTTCGTTAAGATCCGCGAGGTAAGCTAGGAAACCCATCGAAGATGATATTATGATGGAAACCAAAGGCCGTCCGCGACGGTCGACATATGACAAGATTCTCGGTGCTTGCCTCTGATCTGCCAGTGCGGCGAGAGTTCGCGAAGAGCCAAACACGGAAGAGTTTCCGACGGATAAGACGGCGATTAGGATGACAACGTTCATTACCGAAGGTAGGACCTCAATGCCTGCATTTTCGATGGCGATGACGAAAGGCGACGCGGCCGCGACCGCCGATCCGGGAATGAGAAGACGTGGATCATTGTAGGGCACGAGTAACCCGATGAGAAATAGAGCTACGATATAAAATATAGTAATTCGCCAGAACACCTGCTTGATAGCAGTAGGCAAGGACTTGCGCGGATTTGCCGTTTCGGCTGCGGCCAACCCGACTAGTTCTGTCCCGGCGAAGGCAAATGCTGCTGTGACGAAAACGCTGCAGAGGCCTTTGAAGCCATTGTGAAATGCGCCTGGATCTCGCCAATATAAAACCCCTATATACCCACCTCCTGGGACACCGCCAATATTCAGGACGATTCCTAGTAAGCTTGAACCGGCAAGAAACGTCAATAAACGAACAGGATTGTTGGGTAGAGTAGTGGTAGAAGAGAATCTCACATGAAGCCAATCACAGCAATAACCTTGATAATGGCGAAGACAAATTCGGCCTCTCCGTAGCCTTTGACCCCAAACAGGTTGATCGCAACAACCGCGATTAGAAATATTGTCACGAAAATTGCTTTATTTAGATCCGGATTCCAATACGTTATAGTTATCGACGCGGCGATGATCTCGAGGGGTAGCGCGACCAGCCATTGCAGGGCGTAACTAAAAGAGCGTGTAAGTCACATTCACCTCATATGACCATTATAGCTAGAAAGAAAGGAGGAAAAACATACTTCCAACCCATAGCAAACCCCCACGACGGGTCTAAAAAGCGCGTTGAGTACGCAGAGAAAGATCCAGCAACAGGGAACGAGACGGCCAGCTCGCCAAGCGCCTGCACGGTACAGTATAACATGCATCCGATGAACAGGTACGCAAGCAACAGCGACGCCGGGCCCCCAACCTCAAGTGCGCGACCCGAAGCGACGAATAACCCGGTCCCTGCGCCATTGAAACACCGTTAGCTAAACCTCCCATTCTCCCGCGTTCATCCATTCATTCACACAAGCACACGTAACCAAGATAGATAGATGGATGGGAGCGAGTACCCACCAATAGACCCCCCAATCGCAATCATCTGCAAATGTCTGCCCTTCAGCTTCCGCGCAAGATGCGACTGCGCAGTCTGCAAATTTGCCGCCCTAACATCATACCTATGACCCCCCGACGACCCCGACGACGAGCCCCTCCCCCCCTCCCCCCCTCCAAGCATCGGCGCCCGCAACTGCGCCGCCTCCACCGCATGTATCGCGTCGAGCGGGTCTTCCGGCGTAACGCGCTGATTCGGGTCTCGACGGAACCCGTCGACAATGCGATCGAAGAACCGGGTGCGCGACGACGACGCCACTTCCTCGTACAGCGGCTCGCGCATCGTGTAGCTGCTCCCAGGCGCCAGCGAGTCCTCCTTGATCGGGAAGATGCTCATCTCGATGTCCCTGTTCGACGGCGGCATGGTGGGTGGTGGTTCATCGCGCGCGGGGCGATTCGAAGCTGGGATTAGGCGGGTTAATTTGGTAAGTACCTAGCCGTGCGCGCAATTTAGTAAGTTCGCGGTGGTAGTTTCTTGTCGACGATGCGACAAACAAGTGTTGTGGATTTACATATATGAGGTTTCTATCATTAATGTTAGGTATCTTCGTAAAAGTCGACGTGGGGTCTTGACGGATGTTGGTTCAGGGTAGCTTATCAGCCACGCGAGCTAAATAGAAATGCACCTTCCTTTTGCTCCTACGAGTTACATAATGGCATCTACATCCCTGCTTGTATACGCTTAAATAGTGGATATTTGTAGATAACGTGCATGGGATGAACTTCAAATCCAAGATCTGGCCCAGATCCATCTTACGAGTTTAGGTACCTATCCAAGATATTTACTTACACTGTATGTGTACCACGGCATCAAGCCATAGAGTGAGTGCAGTGGGGGCAACCTTGGCGTTCAAATTCGAGTTGGTGAGGTAAATTACTTATAAACATCAAGTCGTTACTGTATCGCCTCAAATATCACAAACAGGACTAAACGCAACAATATGTTTTAGTTTATACATGTTCAGAATGCCATATATACTATGCGGCAACCATCGAGAAAAACAACCCTCCCGAGCTCTGCATTACGCCAATGATGCTCCCCGAAGTAGGTGGAGATGATATATGCTAATTATTTCTGAACTCATTGGATAATCTTTCCTTCCGCGTCTCTTGGTTTCCGCTTCCATCCCGTCGAGAATAGATGGCCCATGTCGAATCGAGGGAAAAGGTGTGCCTCGGTATTGATGACAATCTTATCCAACGGAAGAAGATCGTTGGGAGAGAAGAGAAGATAAAAGTACTTCAAAGTCTCGGCCTATAAGGTAAAGAATAAGTTAGAAAATGCATCCAATAGTGTAGAGGTATGGGGAACATACCAGCCAAAAACTTTCCATATTGTCTCGCGTTATTGGAGGAATCTTGTTCGCATTTGAAAGACTCGAAAACCCTCCGCCATCCGCTACAGCAGTGTGGTTCATAAACGACTTGAACATCTCCCAGCCCCATTCTCGGTACTTGATATCACCTGTGATTCTCCACATGTAAAAGAGGCTTTCTACAGTCTCCGGCCGCTGGAGATTATGAGTGTCCATAGAGTGAACCGAGTAATCTTTTCGCCACTGCGCTTCGGGGTCCGGATCAAATTCAGCTGGTGGGTGGTGAGGAGCAGATTCGGGCGCAGGTGGGTCGGCGATGTTAAAGTATGTGATTTCAGCCGCAAGACCGGTGGCCATCCACTTATACATGCCCCAGCATGTCTGCATCAGCTCCTTCGCGAGCTGCATGTCGGCCTCGTTCTGTTTTGTCCACGTTGGCTTTTTCCTAGCCTCCGCTTCTGTCAAACCGCCCGTGACAGCAAGGGCAATCGTGCCCGGCATGAAGCAGACCAAGTGATCCATCTTAGGAGACAAGGCGCCCTTCAGACCATCTGGCCGCTCTCCAATGATGGTGAATCCAGACGGCTCTGTGTAGGTGACGAGGTGCTTGCGGACTCCCCGTAGTGTCTCATCCCACATTTCTAGATAAACGGGTTCCTGCTTATTAGTTTGTAAATACTGCTTGATAAGATACTCATAATACGAGTCTCCTCGGCTTCCTAACCGTATGTTTTGACCTCTGAAAGTACCATCCGTAGCATAAATGTAGATGGGCACTAAGCCATCTTCGACCCCGTTATTATCAACAACTTCCATTACTTTCTCGGCTTTATCCCAAAAATATTTCTCGCCGGTCAACTTGGCAAGATACTTAAACTCGAGCTGCAAGGTAGTCGCCTCAGCAGTAGACGATGCGCCACCCTCATCGTGAGCTGGTATACCTTCGTATTTCCCGATATTCACGCTGGCATAGGGAACACCAGACGGAGAATCGAAAGCAGATATAAGTCGGTCTGCGAGATCCTTTGCCTTCTCGAGGTACAGATCCTCTCCAGGTGCTCCAGGGTCATCGTCTGATAGCGGTGCCAGCTCGGGGAGCTCATTAGAGAGATAATGAGCAGAGAGAAGGCCGCCTAACATACGAATTGTCGTCTCGAAGGTGCTAACATCTTGATCTTGGTCATATGATAGGGTATTTGAAATCCACTCCCTCGCGTGAGTGACACGGGAAGTGAGATTCATCAGAATCATGGTGTCTAGAGCATCCACGATGATCCACCCCATTCCTCCCTTAGCCATCTGGTCACCTTTCTTGGATATCGGGTGAAACTCATCATAACCTTGAGGTAGGTTAGCAAAAACTAGGCATGAAGTCGTAACCATTGATTCGAATTAAATATCTTACCCCAGGCATATCGTTCGTAAGCGTCCCAGCTTAGGGTGAAAGCTTCAACGACGCGTTCTCTCCGCCCCAACCAATCGGCAGACCTCCCCGATCCGGAGTTAGTAGTAAGCCAGGCCCATATGGGAGTTGAAGCGGCGACGGTATCACGGTGACTGCCGAATACACCGAAATAATACAATATCAGGATCACCAGGAGCACAAGACCAATTATCCGTTTTCTCCGCCAGAGAGGTCTGGCTCGGTAGGAGGGCGGGTACGCATACGGTTTGTCCTTGTACATGGGGAGAGAGTTTCGATCGTCGAAGAGGCTTCCAACCTTATCTTGCACGCCCCCAAGTATTCCAGTGTTTTTGGGATTTGAACCCTTTCTACCTCTTGCGACTGCTGTGTTGCCCCAGACGTGATCCTCCACTATCCTCTGCGGGTTGCTAAACGAGGGAACATTTTTAGGGACGGAAAATGACATGTCAATATCGTCGACGGCTTTCTTGCTTTTCTCGAGAGCATTAATACTGGCCTCGACGGCGCGTTCGGTGAAGTTGACGGCAGCACGTGGCACGGTGGTCTTAAGGATGGATAGAGCGTTCTTTCGATGGATACCGAAGGGGTCGCGTACATTCATGAGGCAAGGTATAGCGACGACAAAGGATACGCATTAGTAGGCGGGTTGTCGAGGAAAAGCGACTCGTATTGATGGACTAGGAGTAATCGTATAGGCGGTAAAATAAGAAGCACGCCTAGCCCAAGAAACTTAATTGGATAAGAACAATGACAAGATCATTTCTATTCTATCATTACTCTTCTTCTCTCTGTGCCGAATTTTGGAAATTCGCCTAATAAAGGCATAGGCACGTAGGAAGAAATTCCCCGTTAGCTTTGATTCTAAGAAAAGAAAAGGTGAGTTGCTGCTACTGACTTATAAAATATATGGTCGGAAGGAGGTACCTATTAAGGACAGCTAACTAGTTAGTTTTACAGTACAACGTCAATTGCCGTTCGCCTGGTCCTGCCGTCTATCCAATTAGCAGCCAATAGGAGTTTCAGCATATATGCAGCTAGCCCCTCCACAATCGTCGCCCCACAATCGTCGACATCAGTGCATGCGCGATAGAGAGAAGTACCTGCCTCACATTGGGTTACATGTATGTAGGTTAGGTACCTAGAAGCCCGAATTATATTGGGTAAGTACATGCAAGCCTGATATACTATCTAGGTACATTTACTCATATGTATTTCGAAGCTTCAAAGTTCACATGTTCATATAAATTAAGCGATTACTTCTTAATGCTTAGGTTGTTAGGAAGGCGCTATCAATTCATATTAAAGACTCGTCATTGTTCGGAATTGGCAAGAACTACTTAAATCTCAAAAATCAAAAGTACCTAATATATACCTCTTAGATATCTCGGCTCCGTCTTCAAGTCTTTGTTCTAAGCCAGTCGACTACTACCACAGTAGCAACCACAACCGTTTGGACGACGCACAATGGATCCTTCCAATTGTCACCGTTCGAGCTACAAGTGCTACCCGTATCTTACCAAGGCGGAGTTTTCTGAAGTATGCCACTATCTGGACAGGAGATATCGTCGTGCTACACTAGGACCCTTGCGCAAAGAATGGCGTCTTCATGTTCACACGGCGTTGGAGTTGTCCTTTGAGCCTGGTTCAGGGCGTACTACCTTTCTACAAGTCACACGACCTCTGGACAACAGAACGGCTGCTGACGATGAGCTCGCCGCTAAGATGGGTGGCGTCTCATTGGGCGAGGATCAAGATATGCAACTGGATGCCGACGAAATGATGGTCAAGATGGAAGATTCGGACAAGGTCAGACATATTATGACTAACCCCCCCCCCCCCCCCCCCCCCCCCCCCCCAATAGCGCGGTATAGATGAATAACACGTTTGTAGGAAGTCGTTTCTAAACGACCATCCCGGGCACACTTCCAAGCAGGTCACGTCATTTATGAGATTCATTTCCACCCGACTTATAGCTCACCCTGTCTCTGGTTCACTCTACATGGTCTGCCAGCTGGGGAATCACCGCTCAATATCGAAACGGTCTTCCGTCACTTGGTCCCTGAACAGTTCAAAGATTCTCTCCGAACAGTTGGTCCTATAGGCGCCATCTCAATCGACGTAGGTGAATTTTTGTTCTGCCTAATAAGTCAATTATTTGTTTCTCATATTGGGTATTTTATTATCTCTACCTTGGGACTAACCATGACGTCTACAGCACCACCCTATTACCGGACTCCCTTCGTTCTTCGTTCACCCATGTGCCATCGGAGACGCCATGGCTGGGTTTGACTGCGCAAAGCAAGACTATCTCATGGTATGGCTTGGTCTGGTGGGAGGGTGTGTTGGACTTTGGGTCCCTCAACAGATGGCTGCTGTCAATGCTGGCTAAGGCTCTAGGTGCCCATATAATAAGGGAATGAGCCATACCCTGACAACCGATGAAATTGAGAGGGAGGCTTTATCCTGAATGCATTCTTTCAGCAAGTTTGGTACTAGCAAGTCTTCATTCATCATCGCTATCTTCCTCCATCGCCACATCTTCGTCGCTATCTTCTTCCTCCTCTTCGTCGCGAGTTCGTTTTTGCCCGCGAGCATCAGGGCCGTCTGCATCCGCCATCGCATGGTCGGAGCTCTGCGGAGGCTTCGTAGGAAGACCATGAGGGGTGGAGGCTGCCGCAGGTGTGCTGGTGGTAGTAGTGCCAGGTGCCGGAGCATTGAAGATGTTCTGCTGGGCTTCCGTCATCTCGATATTGGCGGCGGCAGATCCCGGAAGCTTATATGTACCGTCTAGTTTCGCGATGATATCTGATTTGGACTTCGCATACTCGATCCGCTATAGGCACGCGTTAGTTAGACAGACTCGGCGCAAATAAGTTCAAGAATATGAAAATTTACATACAAGTTCCAGTCCTAAGAATTTGAAACCTTGTAAGGACCTTAATGCTTGAGTCGCTGCCTGCACATCGCGAAAGACGACGTGAGACTGGCCACGCATTTTTATGGTCTTTAGAGTCACAATGTCAAGCACAGGGCCGTAGGTCGAGAATAGCATGTAGAGTGCCGTTTTTAGGTCTGTCTTGTTGATCTTATTCGAAGGTAGATTTGTAACGTAGAGCCTGGAAACAGGGTTAGACAGAGGCTTACAAAATAAGTTAATCGCATAATCTCGAAAACTTACGTCTGGTTTGGTGGAATTGGAGCTGTCTTGCCGCCAGTTTTCGGTGGTTGACCGCGTGTAGCGACGGTGGTGGCCATTGTGAAGATACAAGTATATCGGATTCAATTAATTATTGTCTAACGTATTGAATCGCCAATCCCAATTTTATCTACACTCTGTACTGGTCGTGAGAAATCTTAAAGTTCCTATAATACAGCTTAAAGGTTGCTTGACGATCTCGACGGTCGTGTTTAATTATTGTAGAAGACAAGCCACGCAGAACGGCTGAAGGAGCCTCACAATACCGATATGGACGTTCCATTAGGTTAGGTACATTTAATCTGCCACACTTGGCGGGATGGATGCTGTGGCTTGAGCTCAATTTTTACCTGGTGACGCACGTCAGCGGAGCCCCTGCTGCACCCCACCTGCTGCTTGCCCTGCCACCTCGCATCTTTAGCTGCTTGTTAAGAACTAACTTACACCTCCTTTCTTATTCCTAAATCTTCAAGACAGCTACCTAAAACTACCTAGGTACCTAATCTACCTCGACGTGGTAGTAGAGAGCTATACTCCTATCACTAGTAGGCACAGAACTAAAAACAAAAGACACCCACATTGAAGGAAAAAGAAAGAAAAAGAGATACCTTATCAAGATGGCCGCCCCGGAGGTTCACCATCTCTTCCATCGACCTATTGCTGACCATTCCTTCTCGGCCGACCGTCAGACATTGGCCGTCGCTAAGGACTCTACTATCGAGTTATACGGCAAGGTTGGAGGTGCCTTTAAGTTAAAAGATGAGCTAAAAGGCCACGATAAAACTATCACCAGTGTCGATATTGCTCCAGGCAGCGGCCGAATTGTCACGTGTTCCCAAGGTCTATCTACCTCATTTACAATTTACAATTTACATATTATCTAAAACCTATTTATGTATGAGCCTATTCTAACATGCTCGATAGATCGTAATGCCCTAGTCTGGGAACCCTCTCCTACTGGTTACAAGCCAACTCTAGTACTTCTTAGAATTGCTCGAGCGGCTACCTTCGTTCGCTGGTCCCCCTCCGAGACCAAGTTCGCTGTTGGCTCCGGTGACAGGGTCATCGCTATTTGCTACTTCGAAGAGGAGAACGACTGGTGGGTTTCTAAGCACTTGAAGAAGCCCATTCGAAGTACCATCACTAGTGTCAACTGGCATCCTAACTCGGTGCTGCTCGCTGCCGGCTCTACCGATGCCCACGCGAGAGTCTTCTCGAGCTTCATCAAGGGTGTCGATGCTCGTCCCGAGCCTAGTGTCTGGGGTGAACGTTTACCGTTCAACACCGTCTGCGGCGAATTCTTGAATAACTCTGCCGGTTGGATTCACTCTGTCGCCTTCTCTCCGAGTGGTGACGCACTCGCATTCGCTGCTCATGACAGTAGCATTACTGTCGTCTACCCTACCGCTCCTGAGCAACCTCCGCGAGCTGTCATTAGCGTCAACACCCAGCTCCTACCTTTTATGAGTCTAATTTGGAACGGCGAGAGCGAGATCATCGCAGCCGGATACGATTGCGAGGCGTTTAGATTCAGAGGTGACGCATCTGGATGGCAGCTGAGTGGCACTTTGGAATCTAAGGGAGGTCCTGGTTTGGGAGATGCGCGAGAAGAGTCCGCCTTGAATATGTTCAAGCAGATGGACTTGAAAGGCAAGGCCAAAGACGACACTCAGCTAAAGACCGTTCACCAGAACACCATCTCGACAGTCCGTGTATACGAGTCCGATGGCGGAGCCGTCACCAAATTCAGCAGTAAGTCTTTCTCCTCGCACCGAAGCCTCAGGTTGTTCTATGGATATGCTAACGGGATACAAAGCAAGCGGTGTTGACGGTAGAATTGTCATCTGGCACACGTAGACTCATAGATAATAAACACCCGCATCAAATTGATGTGTCTTAAATATATCGCCTTTGTCCACACCGCCTCATGTTTCTCCCTAGTTCTGTTCTTGCAGTTACTCGAAAGTCCCTTAGAATGGCCCTTAGTTGTATAAGCCTCTAGAAGCCTACGGTTCTCCCGACCGCAGCTATTATTGCCGTGCTATTAATACCAGTAGAGCTCCATGCGTTCTGATTTACTAGTTCTACATATTAACCATGTTAAATTCAACGACATCACCAAGTGACTTTATTTATCGCAGGGCTCAAGGCTCACCCGTTGCTTCACCTACCCAAGAGAATCTGGCCATGGAACCAAGCCCACGTACAAAAGCGACCGGCACCAAGTCCCTACCAGTCACCACTACCGAGTGGGAAGTCGTTGATCCCCAATTCTTGCCGTTGTCACCTGGGGAGTGCCCATGTTTCACCCCTCGCCCAGATCTCCGGTATTTGAAGAGAGAAAATGACAATAACCGTCCTCCACTGGAGCAAATAGGAGAGCCGAATAACTGCGCTCCTCTGGCGTATCCTCTGGAGTCAGCACCGCGTATTTTCAAGCCCGAGCCAGATACATACTTGCCCCAGGTTGCAGACCAGCACCCATGGCTATCTACGCCTCCCGCACCCGCCCCATTGCGTACAGATGGACGGGCTCTCTCCATAGCCACGTCCAACCGCACCGTAAGTATACCTAGCAGCAGCACGGGACCCATCATGAATACCTACGCGACGGCGCGCACCGTCCACGATATATGCTTGCAAGCAACGAGGACGTATCTCGACACGCATATCGCGAACCGGCGTGCTCGGGCTGCCAGTCAGGGTTGGTCTATGGCTTGTAATGGCAGTAGTAGTAGGGGCAGCAGCAACGGTACCAGTACGAATAACAGTAGCAACACCACCGATAGTAGCAACAATAACAGCAACAATAACAACATTTGTACTCACAACTTTACCTTCAACTCCAACGCCATTCCACCTTCAACCCCGTCCCTCCTACTCAACACAAGCAGCATTTGCAGCATGCTCTGGACCGGGTCGCAACGAGACCGTTTACACGTACTCAACGTTGAGCGGCTCGCGATCGAATCTATGGGGCGGTTAATGCACTGGGCGGAAACCGTAGCCCTTAGCAGCGAGGACGAGTGGCGGGTAGCCGACGAGCAGGCTTTGTGGCAGGCACTCGACGCGGGGAGGAATCTGTGCAGTTGGTTGGGAGTCCCGGATGCGATGCACGCGATGGAAGCGCTTGAGGGAGAAGTGATGGAGGAGTATGGGGGCCCGTGAAAGGGGATAGGGAGATGGGGGAGATGGTGGAGATTATAGCGTCATTCCTAAACGGAAGCAAAATAAAGCAATGGCAAGTAAAAACGGCAGGTAGGAGTGTCATGTAGGTGATGATACGAAATCCTATAGCTGTACTAAAAATCAGCACTAGATAAACCAGCCGGTAATGGGTATTTCACGTCGTAGCAAGATAATTGCTATATTTTACTGTGGTAAGACAGTCTTCAAGATCAACGAGGTCACCATGAAGAACAACAATCACAACAGATCACGACGGACTAGATTTGGTAGTAAATCGGTACTCATATATGATCGTCGTAAAAGATTTATATTTTTAAGTCTTCTAGTAGAATAGGCCGCACTCTAAATTCAAGTTTATTCGTCTTGAAATCCCCGTCTTGTAATTTGCATACTGGCCCACTGGTGGGTAGGAAGAGTTCCATTTCATAAGTACTAAATATTAGATTTAACTATGCTTAATTATCCTTTGTAAACTGTGGTTACTGATATCGGGGTTGTCGCGCAATGTTGGAGTTCGGTGGGCCTGACGGATATCTCGGGTCGTAGTCATCATAGCTGGTGGCATTATCTCTCGAGAATGCTTCGTAGGTTCTCTTGGTTATGCTACCTTCCGCCCTGAAGTTAGCCTCGTATGTAGGTTGTCGCAGAGGTGGCTCAGTCCTCAAGTCAGATTCGTATCTCAATCGGTTCCTGGAGTCTTCATTTCCGTAAGACCTGTATCGCGCTGCAGCATCATTATAAGGGGTAGGCCCATCCTGAGATATAGCGTAGGTAGATTCTCGCTCAAATCTAATAGGTCTCTTGACTACGTACTCGCCGTGGGAATCCCGGACCCTGACAATCTCATAGGCTGTAGCATATTCGGTGGCGGGTTGATGTGCTCGATCATCATCAGTGTATACATGATGATATTCCTGGCGTGGAGGTCGGCGAAATAACGCGTCATCTGGAGGCGCTGTAGTACGCACAGACCCGTGGATTGGGTCAATAGCATGAGGGTCAACGTCATTTTCCTGGTACTGATCAAGGCGGGGTCTTGATTCGCGCCGAACATATCCAGGGGGTTCCAAGGTAGTTCGATCGTAAGAATGTCCTTGATCAGGATAGGTACGTTGCCCAGAACCGAAATGTTGTTTGTAAGGTAATTGCCTCTCACGATAAAGATCGCCGTCATGCCGTAGTCCATAGTCGAAACGTCCATTTAATTCTTGCTGTTGATCGAGTTGAGACTCCAGACCAGCCATAAGATCATCTTCGTCGCGTTCCTGGGCAATTATGGGTTGTTGAGGTCTTGCAGCTTGTGCTGTATATATCGATGGTTCAATACTTTGAGCCGGTGGAGCATAATGACTTATCGGACTTCCTATTTCCGATTTTTCATTTAGAGTATTAGACTCTCCATTTTGATTCGAAGGCTTGTTCTTAGAAGCAACCAGTGCAGCCTCCCTGCGGTCTGCAGCCCACATTGCTCGAATTTCCTCTTCTTGCCGACGTTCTTCTTCCGTGATTAGGTCTCCCTCACTGGGTTCTTGTGATTTGACCCTAGACGATGTATCTAATGCGCCGCTCTTACGGTTCCTAGAACTCTGACTGGAAGTGTTTCGACGATCTTTGGTGGAAGCTCTCTTTTGCTTCTTTGTCCTTGCTGCATTAGTCCCCTGCCATGCTTCTGAGGAGGACCGTCCCGAGTCACTATGCTGTAATTTCTGGTGCGCCGTTAAAGAGGGGCTGTCTATAACCGTTAGCTGGTTATAATCTAGTTTCTGACCTAGTGTAGCGGGTCGTAGGGGTTCTTGTTGTATGCTGGAGTTGGTTTCATCATGCCTAATTGTAGGATAGAGTGATGTCGAGTCACTACTAGTCGGTTGCTGACTGGCAAAAGCTCCAGCTCCAATGTCTGCTCGGGTATCAACAGCAGATACAGCTTGTGGGTAGCTGTGAGGATACTGCGCTGGCGGAAAAGCACTATATATCAATGAAGATTTCTGGCCATCTATATTCGTCAAGTACTGAAGACTAGATAGCGCAGAGATATCTGGCATATGCACCATATTGATAGTCCAATCAAGGAAAGGGACGCCTGTCATTCGCGGTTGATCCACGTGCCTTTGTTGAAAATGGGTTACCAGCTGTGGTAGGGAAAATGCCTTGAGATCCTGTTCAGTCGGCGCTTCATTACTCAGACCAAGGTGGCATGCTTTGCACATTAAGCCGTTAACATTGCGCACCGGACGCATCTCCTTATTGTTTGAGAGTCCGTCGATGAACATGGACAGTGGGGGGGTCTCATAAAACTTGGACCGAAACTTTTGCACCACATGCCAGATAACAACATGAACCCTGATATTTCCCGGGAGCTCTTTTAAACCAGCTGTGGAGGTCCAGAGCTCGCGTGAATTTCGAGCTAAATATTCAAGCTCGGCATGATATTTGCTAGCAAGGAAATTCCCATGGGGACTTTGAGAGCTTATCTGGGAATTATTTTGAGGTGTATAGTAGGTGTGGTTAGGATAGGGAGTTGTAGCAGGGGGATAGGTCGTCGGCGATTCAGTTTGCATCCCAGGAGAAAAGAGCGGGTGTAAACCATGGTAAGGGGCTTCATGTGGTCCATAGGATGGCGCATGGTGGGGATAAGGAGAACCGTATTCATGTGGTCCTTGGATATAGGGGTTTCCATACCCGTATGGAGCCGGCTGTTGCATCGTCGGTCCATATGCTGTATGTCCGTAGCTTGGAGGCACAGTATTGTATGGAGATAGCTGGAAGGGCGATGGGTTTGAGCCGGTTGAATAAGGGCCTGTATTGCGACGGTAGGAATGGGCATTGCCCTGAGGCTGCAAGATTCCGTATGTCGACGTAGGTGGTGCAGGTTTAATGATGTGAGGGTCGGGTTTAAAGGGCGGGATCTCTGGCCACTCAGTCCGCCAGTGGACCACAACGCTACCTTGACTAAGAGCATTCGTATGCTTGGCGGCATAGTGTTGAATAACGCCTTCGAATCCAAAGGCCTTGAAGCTAATTTCGCAACCATTACAGAAGAAGAGATCCTTCCGATATGACTCAGTGTGAGGTTTTATCTTTACATCGAATAACCACTTCATATTCTCAAGGGTGAGCTTTTGCGTAAAAGGCCCTTCCAGCGGGTCTTCAAGCGGCTCTCTGCCGGCAGCTCGTGCCGCGGCCGACTCCTTTTCGATTTCCGCGTAGAATCTTTTACGGACATGTAGAAGAACCTCGGCGGCGAATTGCGGGCTATTATCTGTATCAACCTTTTGACCGTCATTCCAACTATCGCGGATGATCTCATCAGCAAATGCGGATAACTGCGCGCGTAGCGGCTCCTGAACATCATCCCAAGCCTTATCGATGAGCTGCTTATTCATTATTGCGTTTCCTTCAGCCTGGTTATGTTCTTCGGGGATCGCTGAGATGAGACCGGTCTGAGTAGGAGTAAGCCCTTGTTCACGTCGCTCACGCTGTTCCGCGGCAATTCTCTGTGCAAGCAAGCGTGGCTTGAGTAAATCCCATGCGTGGTCATCAAGAGGCGATATGATTTGGATAGCTGCTTGGAAGGCTGGAATATGTTCTAATACATTTGACGGCAGAGGTGGGTCGAGTTCCATCGCCCGTCGCTCAATTTCTGTTCGACGAGCAGCTTTAAGCTCTAACGCCTCCTCCCGGGTCCGGGTACGAGATCCATTAGATTGAACATTAATTGGTAGCGAAGGAATGCCGGCCCCGAGTTCATCTTTTATCATGTTAGTCACAACGGGGGAGACCGAACTGGGATAACTTACGTGGAGAAGTAACTTCGGGTGTACGCGCCGATTGAGGCGCTATTATAACAGAGGCAACATGACCTGAATCAGACGTATGTTGTCTGGTTATACTACTTGAACTCAAAAGACGGTTGGAAGCTAACGAAGAATCTGCTGAGACTTGTCCCTTATTATTTGAAATTGCCATACTCAAAACACTATCCGGATTCGTCGGGGTTTGCATCAGAGCTACTCCGCCAGTTGAAGCCCATTTTTCCCATCGCATAGAATCATTAAGTAGTTCCTTTCCTCGAACCTCTAAGCCTTTTAGCCACTCTTCAGCCGTTGCACCGCCCATTGATTTGGCGGAACGAAACTCTTGTTTTAGCTTGTCTACGTGTTCGGAGAGGTATATCTTAGTGACTTGCATATCTGGTTGGAATACTCCTTTCTGAAGCGCATCAGGTGAAATTATGTGCTTCTCGTTGGTGATAAAAGTGAACGGTAACGCCGACGTCAGTAGGGAAGGCGTCGAAGAAAGTAGCAAATCAATCTCCTTGTGACATAATAAGATAATATCCTCGTAGCTTAGGAGTATGTACATACCTTCATTGTTTTTTCTACAAGGCAAGATTCGCAGCTCCGAAGTGCAAACGGCCAAATTGGTTGGTGTCTATGATTGCTCTGGTTATGCGACAATTTTTCCGACACCAAATCAGTTTTACCACAGAACTGACATCTTCTTCCACAAGCAAGACGCCACATGTAGAGCTCAGTTTTCTGCTGCAGTGGGGTTGGCATCCTTGGCCAGAAACGCCTCCTAGAAAATTGCCATATAGCATCGGGCTTAAGCAGCCGGGAAGAGGATTGGGAAAGAGAGGGCGGGAATTTACACTGGTAGGGAGAGGACGGATCGAGATATACGCTGAACAACTTATTGACGCACAACAAATTGCCTAGAGCTCTTGGTGGGGTGAAAATAAAGATGCGATGCCATATTTCGGCAGGAAGTAGAGATTTGTCTAACGGACAGGTCACAATGGACGGGGTTTGGTTAGAACCCTCATTGTCTAGTTTTACTTTCTTGATGGGAACGATTGTATGATGAGTATCATCTGCCTCTTGGGACTTTCGCTTCCTAGAGACATCCCGATTGCGCTGGGCAGCGGGAACTGGTAGTTGAGCTTGAGTCGAAATGTATTCGCTACCAGTCGAAATTAACGAATTATGCACGTCCTCTGGTTCAGAATCGGACATGGAAACATCAGATTCTTCACTGCTAGAGTCTAGAGGGATTTCATCATCCTCGGCTGGAGATAGAACTGAACCGAGCGGGTGTTTAAACACACCTCCGGATCCCCTGCTGAGATCCATGGCTTCCCACCAAGGGGACTTGCGAACTGACCGACTTGCTACAGCCAGAGGCAAATGGTAATCCGTACCTAATATGATTAGTATCAGCTAGTACCGAAGTTCAGATTGACGTGGTGAGCAACAGGTTATGTAGAAGCCAATAACACTTGTCGGAAATGGCTGAGATCGGAGGCAATTGTTCATTAAATATACGCACTCTCAAGGCTCGTCACACTTTCGTTTGAAAATGTGGCTCCTTCAGAGGTAGGTGAAATGCGAAAAAAAAACATGAGAAGATGGGCTACTGGTGCAACATGGAAATCGACTTGGGAGGGCTATTAAGGCGTTGACCGCCAGAATTATCCTGAGGTAGGATAAGGCAGGATAAAGTACTTGGAGTCTGGATTTTAGAACAGGGTGAGAAGAGTTGAGTTGTCAAAGGCAGCTTGCCATGCTAATAAGCGGGAGACAAGATAGAGGGGTGAATATGGAATCTATGAAACATATCATTCCCTAGCATTTTCCTTAGACAAAGCCGGGAGATGTAAAAAATAGGCGGTAAGAGGTTGTGGAAGTTGAATTATAAGAATCGCGATGTGACACGCGAGAGTTAGACGGAAGTTTAAACCTAGGAGACCCCACAACAGGTTAGGTACTTTGTATGTACTATGTAAGTGCCTACATGATGTACTATTAGTGGATACAGCTTACTAACAAGCATTTAAGCACTTGGAACCGTAAATGTCAACCGTAAATCAAATGCATGTGCAAATCAAGTTCAATGCGCACACATGTACACCATACCTAGGTACCATCTGGTGCCACCCGGTAATTATCCGAACCGTTGCCCTTGACAGCCGACATGAACTAAAGTGTTACCGTGTTACTGTACCTACACCCTCATAATGTCTAACAATTGCCCCTCCCCCACCATTCTAGGCTTCGCATTCTTTTTCGTTAGATTCAAAGCATCATCAACATCAACAACAATAATAGCAAAACTAACACTATAGATTTCGTCGTTATTTTGTTTTTACGCTTATAACGCCAGATTCAAGATGGCTGCGTCTGATAAAGTCTTCTCCCTTGAAGGGAAAGGCCTAAAGCTAGATACGGCTCAGGATCTCGAGGCGCATATCGGTCCGCTAAGGGCTATGGACGACGTTGAGGAAGTGCGCATCCTGGGAAACACTCTGGGTGTCGAAGCCTGCAAGCTTCTTGGAGAAGTCTTAGCTACTAAGAAGTCGCTAAAGGTAAGACATATAATATATCAGATGTTATATATCATAGAGGATGCTAGTACAAAGAAAAAGAACCTTACTGACAACGTTTCTACTTATGTAGGTCGCAAACCTGGCTGACATATTTACGGGTCGCCTATTAAACGAGATTCCTGAGGCCCTCTCCTCTCTGCTCACCTCTATCCTCAACTTGCCCAATCTTCGTACCATCAACCTGAACGATAATGCTTTCGGTCTTAACACCCAAGCGCCCTTGGTCGCTTTCCTATCTAGCCACGTGCCGCTCCAGCACTTGTACCTCAACAACAACGGATTAGGACCTTATGCCGGCATACTCATCGCCGATGCGCTCTCGGAGCTGCATACAAAGAAGGAGGCTGCTAGAAAGGCAGGACAAGACGTTCCCTACCTCGAGACCGTCATCTGCGGTCGTAACCGATTGGAAAATGGAAGTATGCTTGCTTGGGCCAAGACCTTCAGCCTTCATGACCGGGTTAAAGAAGTCAAGATGGTCCAGAACGGTATCAGGCAAGAAGGAATCGAGCAATTGCTTACCTCAGGTCTTAATCACGCTATCGGGATCAAGATTCTAGATCTGCAGGACAACACATTTACCATCAAGGGCGCGAGAGCATTAGCAAAGGTTGTCCCTCTGTGGACAGACATACAAGAGCTTGGAATCGGTGACTCCCTACTTGGCGCCAAGGGTGGTGTTCTCCTCGCCGACGTTCTTTCCAAGGGTCAAAACCAGAAGCTTGAAACGCTTCGCCTGCAATACAACGATATCACAGCCATAGGCGTCAAGGGTCTCGCATCGGCGGCCAAGGCCGGTCTCCCATCGTTAAAGCGCATCGAACTAAACGGCAACAAATTCTCGGAGGAAGATGAGTCAGTCCTAGCCCTACAAGAGCTACTTGACGAGCGGAAAGAGAAGCACGGCGGCGACGTCATCGACGAAGATACCTGGGGCGTCGACAGCCTAAGCGATCTCGAGGATCTAGACTCAGATGAGGAAGAAGAAGAGGAGGAGGAGGAGGAAGAGGAGGAACCCTCTACGGAAGAGAAGGCCGAGAAGCTAATCAAGGAGGCCGAGGAGGCTCAAGAACAACCCACGGTGCAGCTCAAGGATGACGACGTTGACGCCTTGGCCAAGAAGCTGGCGCAGACCGGGATCTAGATAGCTAGATAAAAAGAAAATTGCATACCTGCCTCCTAGTTAGGTAGGCACATATAGATAGTTACGATTCCCTACGCAGGCACCGCGCAGAAATGGAGAAGAATAGGGCTCGAAGATACCCCCCAAACAATTACATACACCAGTTACATACATTCTACTATACTACAGTAGAAACCAAGATCGATATTAGTTTTGATTGACGCCCAAGCGGGAAGGTGATATTGATCTCGCATAGGCCGTTTGCAAAAGCAACTAGTCATTCGATCGATGCATCTGTGACTGAAATGGCCCAAATGTGGTACGCGGAACACGTATGCTGTATGTTGTATGTATAAACATGTATAGATAGCTTGGCCTACCCATCCCATCCATTCATTCATCCGCCCTACATACCTCCACCACTGCATACATATGTATCCTATCCACTGCTCAGTCCACCTATCCATTCCATCCACCTTGACCCGTTCCAGCACACCACCCACCGAGCCAGCCTACACCTCCCTATCCATCCATCTCCAATTCTACGGATTGGTATGTATTGTACATACATACCCGTACACCGTACAACCCGGAGAAGAAGCTCCCTATACGAGATACGATAAATGCTGCTGAATATACTAGAAAAAAAACGGAAGAGTAGCATGGTCTGCGCTATATGTACAAAATATGTGCGCCCTCAAAAGCGTTTCCCGACTCGGTCCCCGTCTGTGCATATTAGAACAGAGACACACCGAACGAATAAGTGACTAGCAAAACTAGCAACCCCTCGAGGTAATGAGAATCGCGGGCAAAGGCGGGCCAACTTAGCATTTTTGGCCGTTCCCCCCTCCGTCTAATCGTACATGTACAGATGAGATGATGGGGCAAAGTTAGATATCGCATTCTTCTCTTCTACGTGAAAACCCAAACCTTTTTTTTTTTTGCCAGGTGGAGATAGTGCCGATTTCTAGTACAAGGTGGTGGTGTTGGTTGGTAGTGGTAGTGTGGTGGGGGGCCGTTGGAAAAGGTGCCCTATTATAACACTTCCCCAATGATTTTAGCTGCTTCCCGGTAGGTCTGCAGTAGCTTCTCGCATTTCTCGCGTTCCTTCTTGACAGCGTCGTCTTCGTAGAGGAGCTCCTCAAAGAGAGTTTCTTTGTAGAGTTCGCTGACAAGTCTATTCTGTACCACGTCTTTGCAATGATTGACGAGCAGGTGCATAACAGCTTTGGGGACTTGGTCAGCGATAGACTCGCGGACAATGTTGAAATACGAGGAAATAAGTGCGCGGATTAGCTCCGTTTCCATTGCCTCTCGATCGCTTAAAGCCGGTTCCACATCGCCCTGCAAGTAAACGTGTCAGTTGGGACAACAAACCAAGCTACAAAATCTGACTTACCGACTGCGGCCCAAACCCAAACCCGGCAGCTTTCGGGCTCTCAACCTCTTCGCGGGCTAAAGATGAGGATAACGCCGGTCGATGAGTTAATTTGTCTTCACTTCGTCGAATGCTTTGACTGAAAGTGGGTTCCACACCCTGGCTGACATGGCGAGGAAGTGCAGAAGGAGCTCCCGCTCCAGAAGATTGGATTGGCTGGCCATCCTTTCCAAAGAAGTAAGTTAAGAACGAATCGCGAGCAGTTCCAATTGCCTGTTGGTTGAACCGGTTAGGTGAGTCCGAACGCGAACCATTCATCGCGGCGGCGATGCTGGAAGTTCCATTTTCGCGGAGGATAGGCGACATGCTTCTTGATCCTATTCCAGCTGGCTTTCGCGACTGAGAAGCGTCATGTCTATCATGATCAGGCTCTTCTTCATCATTCGGGGTTTCAGTACCATTTGTTCCAAATTCCTTAAGCCGCTTCTTTTCCCGGCGTTCCCTTTCTTCCTGGATTATCCTCTTCCTTTCGCGCTCCTGCTTATTAGTAACCACATGGCTCATGGCTGCAGCGGCCCCTAAGAAATTAGGATGGTTTGTATTGATGTAAGCCCGTTGAATAGAGATAAGGGACTCGACGTAAGATGATGACGGACCCAGCCGCTCTCTCAGAAGATCTGATACGACCTCAATAAGTTTGGCCTGAAGTCTAGGATACCGAGAGAGTTCTGTCGAACCACATGTGTGGCATATTTTAATCAGCTCTTCGTATACTAACTCGACGCATCTTTGACTGGGGAGCTCTAATAGCTTAATTTGGGGTTTGACGAGTAAGTCAAAGGCCATTTCCGGTACAAATAAACTTGGGCGAGGACCTGTCGAGTTGCGAATGGCGGTCCTGATATCGAGAGCAGAAAGGTTGGAAGTGGGATCGATAGTCTCCAATGCACTGCCGAACACTGAATTGAAAATATAGTAGATCCGCGCACCTCCAGACAGCTCTTTAGTTGATATGTCGGTAGATGTACCGTCGATGGACGAGATGAAAGAAGTAGCAAATCGAGTCATAAGCTGAAGAATCATAGACCCTCGATGCTCCTTTCCGCTAAAATGCATATCGCCATAGCTTGCAAGCTCCTGCTGGGTTTGGCCCATCAGCGTGTTGAGACGTGCCTTGATGTCCGGTAACCGCTCCCGAATGTGTGCCATAAGAGTCTGATTAAGGGTCTTAGCTAGATATTGAGTACCGCATCGCATAGAAATAGTTCGGTAAGCAGGATGGTGTCGGAAAAATTCCGACTCTGCCTTAAGAGCATCTTCCATCGGCCGATTGCCCTGAATATCCTGCTGTGATCGATTGACCACACCGATAAAGCCCAGCTTTAACGGGTAGACTCGGCCAGATAAGATATCTAATGCATTCGTACCGTGATCCATTAAGTCTACCTTGGTGAGAACTCCGATCGTCCGACGGCCCAGAGGATCAACATGTCTGGCAAGTTTTAAAGCTTCCGAATTAACAATGTCAACGTTTGCAGGAGAGACGGCGAGAATGATACTGTTGGGCTTGGCAATGTATTCAGAAATGAGGGTTCGAGTCTGTTTCTCAATATCGGCTGGTTGATCGCCGATGGGAACCTATCACTCGTCGGGTCAGTCACCAAATAAGTAATTCTTCTTTTTAAGGCGGTGAGCATACCTTGGTCAAACCTGGCAGATCAACCAGGGTTAAGTTAAGAACATGAGGAGAATAGATTTTTAGATTGATGGGTTGTCTGTTGATGCCCTTATTATTGCCGGCAACACGAGAAGTTTCATTCTCAATCTCGCGCTTGACGTCTGCAAAATCGGTAAACCTTCGACCGGGTGTGTGATGGAACTCAGCCCACTCGGAGCGGCGTGCTTGAGTGGGACTCTTGTAAGCGGCCTGTAGATCTGGTTCGGACGGGTCCTCTTCGACGTTGATTAATTGCAAAATTAACGGGCGACGGGTCACGATGCCACTTCCTCGAGGCAAAAAATCACGGCCGACAATGTTCTCGAGCACTGAAGACTTGCCGGCTGATTGCGAACCGACGACAACCTATGGTTTGGACGAGAGTAAGCAGCGGTGCGAGTATGAATCCCGAATCAAAAAAGGAAGAAGTATGGAAGTCTTGGAGGCGCAGGACATACGATTTGAGGTAAGTCGAGGGAGTCTGTGCCAATTGTATTAAAGACTAGGTCCTGAAGCTGATTCACAATCCGCAACAGGTCGTCTCCTAAAGCAGCCATTTTGAAAACGTTAAGTTCTCTATCAGCCTTAAAAATGGCAAATTAGAGAATAGTTGATCTCTTTTCTTTTTCTTTTAACTTGTGATGCTATCGCCGACAACAAAAACGATGTTGGGTACCGGTTTATCTGCCGTCAACAAGGATCGCAGGCGCCACCGGTAAGACAAGCTCTCAACCGATAAAGCACAAGAGACCGCACGACGAAGGTGAAGTGATTATGATAGACTAGAGAAAAGGCTCAAATCCAGCGATGAGGGGAAAAAATGTAGAGTTGATGTGTTGCAGCCCAGTGGGTGCAAAACGACGAGGCGTTGAAAAATATGGAAATATCTACTGCTAAAAGTTTCCATATGCACATACCAGACTGGTTCTTATTACATTTCATGCGCATATGTAAAGTACATTATGTACCTTTGGGTCCTGCACTTGGAGAAGAAATACATGGTGCTACACTGAATACTAATACACTGAAGCTGGTAGGTAGCGTACCTCCAAGTACCCATTTTCGGTGTCCCACCTTCGTGTCTTTTATCACCCAATCACCTTAGGTCCCATTAGGTCAGATAGGCAATACCGAAGTACGTAGGTACCTATCTTGATAGCTCTTGAGGTACATTCCGCATGCATATAAAAGGCACGGACAAGCTTGACCCAAGCATGTAACAAGGCATCTACGGGAAGATTTTCTCCCAATCGCCAACTCGGCATCCACTTAGATCCCTACAACTTCGTTATCCTTGGTTATGTACAATACTTTCTTCTCGTACGTTCTGGTGGAAAACAAATATAAAACCGTCTATCGCGGGAGAATTGTAGTAGCAGATCGTATTCCAATCATTTCACGATACCTAAGACAAGTTTTCTATGAGGTGTAGGAATAGTGTAAGATGAATTCTTATTAGTTATATGACTAACTAACTAACTACCTAAACTAACAAAGTTATAACCTCGGGTATCATAATTACCAGCCTAACTTACACAGTTGCTATGCAATATTATATAACGCAATTCTCTTTAAAGAAAGTCATATAATCATCATGATTATAATAAAAATGGCTCCCTTAGATTCTACATATATTCCCCCAAATTTCGCATCGGCGAACAGTGAAAGAATATGTATCTTACATACCTTATTCTAAGCTCATGAGCTTTCGGTACTCCGTGTCCCGCGGATATGACTCAAAAGCTGCTGAAGCCTTCGCACTGATTTTAACTTCAAAGGAGAGGCTTCTTCATGAGGCTCCGAAATGTTAGTAAGCTCCTCTCGAGCCACCCTTACGAGAGACCCGAGCTCTCCCCATACTTCGTCCGTATAACTAGAGAGGACCCCTTGCCACTGGTTAACCCAGATATTCTTAGCTTCTTCCAGATCTGGTGTGCCTAATAAGTCAGCATATTCCTGTATGCTACTATTCGACCCAAGACCAGGAAAGAAATTCAAAGTATCGTCCCACCGCCCCCTTGAAACATGTTCACCGGGTTCGCCGTTCTCAAAAAGACGATGACGTAGAGTTGCTTGTTCGGTGTCCGTCAAGGTCATATCTATTTCCTCAACTTTGTCGTATCCTAAATCGAGAAAATCAACAACTTCCATGCCATCGGTTGTGTTGATTATTGGTCTAGTTTGCTGTGTCCCCCCAAGTGCAGGTTCGTGTATCTGCCCGTACCTCCCGATCTTGATGCCGCTAGGCTCCGCTTCTCCTAAAATACTTGTGCTGTTGAGAAAGGATGAGAAGCTGGTTTCACTTGGGACTTCTTGCTCCTGCCTCGGTATAGATTTAAACGTATCTGGAACCGTCCCCTGGGCGAAGTTGTTCCTATACATTGATGCCTCATTCACACCCGCGCTTCTCTCGGATCTAGATGATCCAGCTTTGTCCGAAGGCAAGGCGTCTGTTAGAGAGACGCCGCTAGGATGTTGTAAGACCATCTCGTTAATGAGTTTGTCCGTCGATGCGCTTAGTCTTGATATGAATGAGGTCGTATCCGGGGTTACTTCAACAGAACTTGAATGCCCATCCTGCGCTGTTGATTCGGACGACGAATTATCTATTTTCGTCGCAATACCTTTGCCTTTTGCGCCCCGGGGAGATGTACTCTCACTTTTATCTTTATCCATCGTGATTATGCCTACTCTCTCACTGACGCAACTTAGTAATTATGACTGTATCCAGCTGCAATGTAAGCTTTGTGAATAGAAGTATGATTGAGTCGAAACTTCCTGTAAGTTATACCTTGATAGTCGTTAAATATATTCATACCTATGTACATATAGGTGTAAGTGGACGCTTCGGTAAAATTCGGCTTTGGGGAGAGAACGGGATATAATGATGTAGCTTAGAATTACCTAGGTACAAGGTATGTTAACCTTTAATCGAGTTTTAGCCGCCTTTATTCGCATGTGACGACAAAGACGTCGATTTGTTGATCTAATCCTACAAGATCCTTATGAACTCATATATACGTATAGTTATAAGATAAGCGTACATATATGTATACTTTAGAGTTTACATGAAGCACTCAATCATTACACGAATATTCCTACTATACGAGATCTCATATAAGCTTTAACTTAAAGCCCGACCACGTATTTAGGTAACATTCTGAAGAAATAAATCATTAAGAGTTGTGGTGAATCGTGCCACGTGCAACACTTCCCGATCTAGTTACAAAGAAGCCGGATTATTTCGTAACAATGGGCGCAATCATACCTACCTACAAAACTTGACATGCTTAGGTACGGATAGAAAATTCCGAGCATTGTTAAGGTTGACTATATTACTTATTAATATACATAATGTGGTGGTTGTAACACATACATGTTTAAATGCAGAAGACAAAAAGTATACAGAGCCGCCACTCCCACAAGAATGACTGTCTTCATTTTGTACCACCTATGTCATACTTCGTATATAAACTTGAAATCGTTAAGGCAGGTTATGCAGGCTACTTTAAAATAATCATGCTTTTTTAGATCTATGAACATCTCCCAGTCAGCAGTATATGTAGGCAACTGTCCAAGTACCTAGATAAATGATTAGTCGTCTATTTATCCTCGAGTCTTCTTCGAGGCTCTTCTGCCTTGTTAAATACCTACATATACATGTACATAGACAGTTCTTGCGCTTTCTTAGCAGCTTGGTACCTGCAAGGGGGTACTTTAGGTTAGGTATTCTTGCCCTGGGGCTCCACACTTTCTCCACGCCCGCAACCTTGAGTATGTGGTACTTGAACATTTATATTTATAGTGAGTTATTAGACAAACCTGCTAAATCTGTACATGTAAGCTTAGAAAAGATTTACTACATACCTCAATATTTGGCGCATATAACATATGTAAGTGAATAAGTACATTTATATATACACCAGAAAATATGATACATAAGATATAGTACATATGTAGTTATAACTGATGCATGTAGGAGGTTAAAATCAATAGTTTCATTGTGGGTTATGGATTTCTTTTTGCTTAAGACAATAGATCTACTCTCGCGTGTTAGATGGCAATTCGGTACATAAAGCACTTCTGTAGGTACATAAGGTAAGCATCATCTCGTTAGGTACCTTAGCGTCTTGAGGGGGGTTGACATAACTGTATATATTCGGCTCAATTATCCTAGACTGTACATATACTGTTTATTACAATATACCGCTCAAATTATTTACGTATCCCTATTTTTACCATTCATTAGTTGAATAGTATTGGTACGGCTCCCCCGCCGCACGTGCCAATATTTTAAAACGTATATGGGATAGAGCCATATGCATACCGCTCAATTGAATAAGCGGTATAAATATCGTTCAATCAGAATGAGCGGTTCAAAAAATTGAACCGTTCAGGGATTTGAACCATTCAGGGATTATGAACCGACCAATCAAATAAGTCGTATATTTACAGCTCAATATATATATGGTATATAATAGATTCAATTCAATAGAAATAGACTAACCAATCAAATAGACTTAGTCAAATAGACCTAGTCAAATAGACCTAATTAAATAGATTCAATTGATTTAGTATGTGTGGCCTTGTATGTGGCCTTGTATGTGGCCTTATATGTGGTATGTGGTATGTGGTGTGTGCGCACCTGCCCTGTTAGATACATATATACCACACTAAGAATATCATGTACGTGCGCGCGTAACGTGACTACTAATATTGATTGGTCTATTTGAATGATGTCCGTAACTTAACCAATTGAAAAATTAGATCCTGTGACTTTGTGACTGTAATATTTACCTAAGTAAAAAATAAATATGCGACATGTAAAAATAATAAAAGTACAGCCTCATATAATTAGTATGGCAGCACCATACAATTAGTATGAGGCTGTACCTCCCTTTTACTACATATGCCTATACACCATATGAACCGCTCGAAATTTTGAACCGTTCAGATTTTGAGCGGTTCATTATGTAAGCGGTTCAGCTATAATGAGCCGTACTTATACCGTATAAACACGGCTCATTATATAAGCGGCTTACTTTGGTTTAGCGTTCCTTTTTTAAAACGTTTATAATTTTTTGAACTACTCAATTAGGTTTAACGGTTCGAAATTCCAACTGCAACTTTTCCATATAAGTATTAGTGCGGTTCAATTTTTTGGATAGTATATATACAGTATATATACCGTTTGGTAGACCCCCCTATAGACGCTAAGGTAGCTGCCCAGGTACCAAGATACAGCACTGAGTGTAGACCTAAAACCGGCAAGCCCGCACTGACTGACATAAGCCGACCACCGCCGCCACGCATCTTAGGTACGCATCTACGCATCTACGACCATCAATCAAATCACCCTTCCCACTTCTTCCCCCCCCCCAAATCCGACCCAGACCTACTAACCTAGACCCTTGCGCATAACCCATAACCCATAACTGATAACCCATAACGTACTACTTACTGCTAAGACCTACTCGCATCACATCACTCACCCAAAAAAACCAACGACTACGCTTTGCCGTCATTTTGCAGCAGCTCGTGTATCCTTTTTTCCCCATCATTTCCCCCTCCTGATAGCCAGCGGATGCTTCCGACCACATTTAATTGTTGTGCATGACTTCTTGATTGACCTGAAGTCTCATATTAGCACTATTCTTTGATCTCGCCCACTGCAAAGTCATTGGGAGCGAGTGCACCATCCGCCTAAAGGTCCTTTGCATCTTTCTAACCCTCCACGCCGTCAATACGTACAACACCCCGCCGCCCTAGACCCGCCCCTCCGACTACCTTTTCCCACATCTCAGCCTACCACCAGCCTACCAAGCCTTACCTGTCTCCAGCAGCCGCAAGATACCTCGACACGCCTCTCGGTCTATCCTCACCTCAAGTCGCGTATCAACCCTCCATCGCCCATCGTCGAGCCCTCATTAGTTGCGGCCGCGATACGCTAGTCCATCCATCTACCGCATACACTTCTTCTGAACTGAAATACGGGTCGGAGCTTAGGTAGCTTCACACCCAACCCATCGCGAATATGGTGGAAGGAGATTCAAACTCTCCCACCTGGAAGTTCACCCAGTAAGTTTGTACAAAGGATCTTTCACGATTCTTACTCGACTCACAACTTTTATCGCCACTATCACCTTCTACCCGGAGCAAACTAACTCTCATGCATCTACCCTTTATGGCTGTCAGCTATCTACTTGATAACAATTACTAACTCTGGTTGCTCGCTTCTAGGTGCTTCGGTGACAAAGGAGACGTTGAAGATATCACAGAAGGTATATTTCCTACGCCTCTTATTTTGACTCAAAACTCTCGTGGGCTTCTTTGAGCTCTAGATTGCACAGCCCCCCGACCTCTCTCCCATCAATAGACTAAGCAGGTGGGATGTTCCTATGCTTACATGAGATTCTTAGCCGATATTATATCAACCGTCGAATTCGACCATACCGGTAATTACTTAGCAACAGGAGACAAAGGCGGCCGAGTTGTTTTGTTTGAGAGGAACGAGACGGTCAGTCAATATCCTTGACACGTCACGAAGAGCAATTCAGTCTGATCTAGTGTACAGAAAAAAACTTGTGAATACAAGTTTCACACCGAATTCCAGTCACACGAGCCCGAATTCGACTACCTCAAATCTCTAGAGATAGAAGAGAAGATCAACAAGATTAAGTGGTGTCGTCGTCAGAATGCCTCTCACTATTTGCTCTCCACCAACGACAAAACGATCAAGCTATGGAAGGTTTTCGAGAAATCACTAAAAGTAGTAGCTGAGAACAACCTGTCTCACGATCTGACGCCGGGCAATGTCGCTGGTGTAGGAGGAGGTGCTCCTAGAGCTCTTCCTCAGTCACATTTCAAGACCGCTGGAGAGTTGAAGTTACCACGGCTGACGCATCACGATACTGTCGTCGCTGCGGTTCCCCGACGTACGTACGCGAATGCTCACGCCTATCACATCAACAGCATCTCGGTCAATAGCGACGGGGAGACCTTTATAAGCAGCGACGATCTGCGGATCAATCTCTGGAATCTGAATATTCAGGACCAGAGTTTCAACATTGTCGACATCAAGCCCGCGAATATGGAGGAGTTGACTGAGGTCATTACTGCTGCCGAATTCCACCCCATTAGTTGTAACTGGTTTATGTACGCAAGCTCAAAGGGCACCATCAAGCTAGCAGACATGCGGGAGAGTGCCCTTTGCGATCAGCATGCAAAACGTATGAACCCTTATCTATATAGTTTATAAAGACAACGTCAACTAACGATATTATTTTAGTTTTTGAACAAGAAGAGGATCCGTCGTCAAGATCGTTCTTTTCCGAGATCATATCCTCCATCTCAGACGTACGCTTCTCATACGACGGCAGATACATCTTATCTCGAGACTACCTCACCGTCAAGATCTGGGATGTCAATATGGAACGCCAACCGGTCAAGACCATACCTATTCACGAGCATCTTAGGCCACGGCTATGTGATACGTACGAGAATGATAGTATCTTCGACAAGTTTGAAGTTGTTTTCTCAGGTGACGCCAAAAATGTCATGACGGGAAGTTATAATAACAACTTCATGATTTATCCTTCGGATCCCGAGAAGGAGATCGAGGTCGTGTTACAAGCAGACAAATCGGCCTTCAAGGCGAAGAAAGTAGGTATCCCGACGCCTATCAACTCGTCGACGAGCCCCACAGCGACCAACGGCGGTAAGAAGGGCGGATCGCGTGCGGGTAGTCCGGCGGCCGGGGCGGGTCAGGGACAGAGGATGCGGAAGGAGACGGACGCAGATCAGATTGACTATAACAAGAAAATCCTACACATGAGTTGGCATCCATTCGAGGACAGTATCGCCATTGCTGCAACAAACAATGTAAGTCATGATATTAAAATGTTCCGAGTATGTCAGCGGTAGCTAATATGGTATAGTTATTCGTTTTTTCGGCCCTCTAAGGGCGTAACGGTGCTTTCCGGTAGCGGCCGGATATTTCGCAGCCCGGCGTTCCTGCTCTGCGGAAGAACCTCCCGATTCGAAGTGCGGTAGAGATGTGCGTCGCCATTGCCAGTGGTCTGTCTCCTTGATAGTTGCACGGTCCTTTTGGACGTAGATAACTATTCGTAGTATTTGTGAGACTGCTGGCTTACCCAACGAAAGTGGATGCGTTGTAAATGAGAACACGTTGGGTTTACGACACAAAAGGTGCTTACGGGAGGTTGACTTTACCCTAAGCCTAGCACACTAGGCGGCCAGGAATTGTAGTAAAGACATGTTGGGAGGACTGAAGCATGGCCATTCAGCAGCGGAATCCCATAAGGAGCCAGTTGCATACATGTCGGTAGACATGGGGCCCAATATCATGGCATAGACTCTACAAGGCAGACTAAAGACCATAAGACGGGACTCAAGACAAATGAGATCTGAAGCATGTATAATTGTGTGCCCACACCTCTTTCGAATATCTGATGAGCAAGTTTACGTGTTGTTCTAGTGTGGACATAATATCCCCGAATCCCTAGTAAACAACTAACCCAGCAATACTTCATTACTGTCACGTTTGTTAGGTCGATATAAGTATTGATTTGGGATTTGGTCAAAATAAAAGTGGTAAAGTATGCGGACATAGAGCTATATAAGCTACCTATATTTCAGGGATAAATCGGCACCTGTATTCATGATTAGCATCATAGACGTATAATGAAGATGTCTTTAGATGGCTATAAAAAGAAAACATCTCTAAGGTTAGTCATAGGTGTGTAAGTAACTTCTATGGATGACGCGTGGGAAGTTGGTGGTGCAATACGGAAGCAACCCTCCGCGGGCGGCAAGCCGAAAATCCGGGTATGAGTACCTGGGCTATCCCACACGTTCCTTATTAAGTATTTAATATAAATAATATCCTAATGGGGATATCATGGTTTCTATACGAGTATATGGGATAGGATATGGGTATAATACGGGTTGTGTTTAGTTACCGTAGGCCTGTAGTCGACGTTGTTATACATGGGTACCTCGGTACTTACCGTACGCACCTAAAACCCAGCGTAACCTAAAATACAGGTAGCGAATAAATGGGCCTTTACGAATGGCCTAGTTCGGACAAGGCGCCGGGTTTGAAAAGCTTATTAGGTTAGATAGGACTACGGGCAGGACGGGTACCTAGATATGCACAGGTGTCGCTTCTTACTGTCAGATTGCGACGATTTGAGGCAGCTGCGTACTACCTAATGTACAGCAGACGCCGGACAGTGAAACCTGTCAAGTGCATGTTGCTTAGGTCCAGTGCTTATAAAATCAAGCCACACCCATTGGACCATTGGATCATCGGACGGACGAGACGGACAAATTAAACAAAATTAACATAAACTGATGTCTACTCGTTATTCCCAAGGTGTTCCCCCCAAGGAAAACAGGTATCAAAATCAAATTACTAGATGCAAGGAATCGCCATAGTAGCGGATGACTTATTCCCGCTCTTGGTACGATCTTGACCTTAAGCAACCTTTTAGTGATCTTCCATCCAAAATAGCCGGGAGCAACTGACACATTGCTGCATCCCGCAGGAACAAATCTCAAGACATAAATCATTCATATTATATCTTTTCCCTCCCGTATCTCCAACCTTCAACCTCGATGACGAGCCGATCGACACCTCGGAGACGCCAAACATTGCGAGATTCGCATGCTGCTTCGCGAAATGGCGCTACTATGACACCCAAGGTCATCAACGCAGGGCCTTCTCTCGAAAAGGCTGAGCTATACGGAATAGACGACCAACGCCCGACTTTCTCTAAGCTTATGGGTCTCGCCGGCCGTATTTTTATCGAAACTATTCCGCAATGGCTAGCCGTCGGGGCAATGCTCAGCCTAATCTTTGGCGGCTGTTGTTCGAACGTGAGATCGATCAAGCCCTAGCTTTCTTTCTGTCGCCCATAATGGAGAGCTAACATTGTACTGCATTTCGCAGGTCTTTGCTCTCGAGGCCATTATTAAGTAAGCTCCTGCAGGCTACAATCCGGGTTTTCGGCTGCGTTCCTAGCTAATGTCAACGTTGTTAGGGTTGAACCGGCGAGTGGTATGGCAATTCTACAATACATGACTCACTGGGAACAAAACTAATAGCTCTTGTTTATAGGAACGCTTTTGACTTTCGTACAGTTCCTCTTCGTTGCTGTCACTGGATACGTCTCGCAGTTCGATATTACGCGCCCACCCTTTTTCGTGAAACCGAATCGAGTTCCGATCCGTCGCTGGCTGATCAACATCATTCTATTCTTTAGCATCAATGTGTTAAATAACCACGCCTTCAGCTACGATATTTCCGTACCAGTTCACATCATTTTACGATCCGGAGGCAGTATTACGACAATGATGGCCGGGAGCTTATACGGAAAGAAATATTCTCGCATTCAGATCGTGGCTGTTCTCTTACTTACGGTTGGTGTTGTCACGGCCGCGTGGTCAGACGCCCAGTCCAAGGTAAGAATCACCTCTTCTACCCTTCAGTGCTTATAACTAACCATTAGCAAGGGAACTTCCGCTTCAAATTCTCAAGAAAATGTTCCCAAATTTAGCACTGGCTTGGCGGTCCTCTTGATCGCACAAATTTTATCGGCTATTATGGGATTATACACGGAAGAAACGTATAGAATATACGGAGCGCATTGGAAGGAGAATTTATTCTACTCTCATCTGCTCTCATTGCCGCTATTCTTGCCATTTTCACGGTCTCTGGTCAATCAGTTTATGCGTTTGGCCGATAGCAAACCACTTGCGCTCCCACTATTAGCAGAGCATGTGAACCTGTCGACCGTTTCAGCTAATGTGCGACATCATATTGAAGGAATTTACATTCCCAGTCAGGTGGCCTACCTTGCTCTTAACGTTTTAACACAGTATGCCTGTATCCGAGGTGTCAATCTTTTAGCTGCCGTGTCATCTGCATTGACTGTTACCATTGTGCTCAACATTCGCAAGTTGGTCAGTTTACTGCTTAGCATATGGCTTTTCGGGAATCGGTTAGCCACTGGAACTCTAATAGGTGCCATTGTGGTGTTTTCCGCAGGTGGCTTGTACTCGTTAGATTCTAAGAAGCCAATTCCGAAGCCGAAGGCGAGCAGTGGGAAAGCGGGATAGTCAGCCAGGATACATTAGGATTCTATACGCTGTATAGTTTCCTTCTTAGACCTGTTAATACAATGCGGTAGCAGCGCCTACTAAGCAGGTTATTCTTATAATATGCACGGCTCTTGAAGTGAATTACGGTCCCTATGGAGTGAAGCTAAATGTTTAATCCACTTAAGAAAGCAGTAGCAGACGATGCTAGTCAATCTCATGAGGTGTAAATATGTTGTCGTTAAGCGGCTAACTAACTGAAGATATATGCTGTTTCCATCTCGTGACCGAGGCCTCGGTGTATTAGAAACGGCATAATCACACTCGAGATATTTGGTTTAACTGGGCTAACTACCGCATACTCCGCCATTGTCTCGCATCTCATTTATAACCAGACTTTTTTTGTGAAAATATTATAAAAGATAGGTACCTATATACATATAAGTACATAACATAGCCCTGAGAGGTCGGTACTTAACTGCAAGGTACAAATATAGATTTATATATGCACATCCGTAATGACATGGGTGCATTTTACGGATCCGTACTGGACCATACCTACATTACGTAGGTGGGATTTTAAGGTATCCTATCAAAAGTCTTGAACATCTTAGATAAGCCACCTAGATTTAATAAACGGGCTAAGTACTACCTAATATCAATTCAGCGTATAGCCCATACACCTAAGTCAAGGACACGGTGCTAGGGATCTAAACATGCGCATGCAAGACTTTTGACCTGGACCTTTGTATATACTTCCTTATCAGACTAATGCCCCTCCTCTGCCCCTCCATTATGTACCTAAGATGTTAAAAATATTAATAGGTACGCGCTATATTCGATGAGACTAACCACATGGAACATGAAATAACTACCTATGTAGGTCAAAATTTAGAGTACATGCAGGTACATGCATAGGTACCTGTACTGTATGGACCCAACACCTACTACCCACAGACCAGGAGTATGAGATATACTTATCACCCCCACACGAATACCTATAATTATACGTGTAGATACCCTTGTAAATAGTAGATAGCTTTCATCATCTATATATCATACGCTACGAGACTCATCTAGATACCTGTTACGGCTGGTAATAAGGCATCTTGAGTCCTAGTGTTGATATCCTAAGCGGCACAAATAGCTATTTACGCAGGCAGAGCGCCCAAAAAAAATTATAAAAATAATAATAAAATTTCTCTCCTCATTCCAATCTATATACTCCCACATCAACGACGATCATCACGATGTCGACCGATCAAGACACCCCTAGTACGGAGTCTTCAGGACAAAGCACCAATCCCTTCGTAGGCCCACCCTCAGACTTCGCAAACTCACTCAAGGGAGCCAATGCACGCATCGATATAATGGCTGAAAATATTGCGGATATGCTTGCCGAAAACAAGCAACGGCACGATCAGACCGATGCTAAACTGGATCAAATCTTACAGGCCCTCCAAAGCAAGATGATGGCAGTCGATGTCCAGCAAGACCCATCAGAGAGACAGCCGAAGCATCAGCAAAACACAAAATACACGCCAACCCAATCTCCACCAACAACGAGCGACCCTAATCCCTTACCATTCGCCAAGGCCCCGCTCAATCCTATAGACAACGAGCGAATAGCAGATGGCAAAATCAACTTCCATCAGGTAAATGCCGGCGTGGGAGCACGCACTGTTGAGGAGGAACGTGTCAAGGCGATATTGCCAGAGGCAGTGCTACCTGCCGAAGCAGATGAGTTCGCGAAGAGCGAACTAAGCATCACCTTCCAAAATATACAGAAGGTGTTAGACATTCGTCATAAGTATATTCGCTTGTCCTTGCAACGAGACGGCGATAATCCCAAGGACGACCCGAGTTGGGATATTTACCCTCCCCCACCGGAGCCGGCCTGGATTGAAGCTTTTACAAACCAGGACAGTCATGGCGTAAACACCGGAAATAATAGTTTGAGTAATAGTACTGTCTTATCTGCCCAACCTGGTACTCAACGCCCTGGTGATCCTGGACCTCCAATTGCAGATGTCCGACCCAAACGAATATCAAGGAAGCGTAAGCCCGGCCATGATATCGGCGAGGATTTCGAAATAACAGACATCCTACCCCTTCCTTCAGCGAGTGAGTTCGTCTTTCGCCTCGACGAGAACGGGGTTTACCAAGTCTTTGAAAACGAGGCCGCTGGTGAAGCTAACACGCCGGTGGTGGGAGTACCTACGATTAAAGATTTTTATATGGATCTAGAAGAACTCTTAGCCATATCGTCTGATGGTCCGAGCAAAAGCTTTGCTTTCAGACGACTTCAGTATTTGGAGGCCAAGTTCAACCTATACGTACTCTTAAACGAGTACCAGGAGACCGCAGATACCAAAAAGGTGCCTCATCGAGACTTCTATAATGTAAGAAAGGTTGACACGCACGTTCATCACTCCGCTTGTATGAATCAGAAGCATCTCTTGCGGTTTATTAAAAGTAAGATGAAGAAGTGTCAGGACGAATACGTGCTCTTTAGGGATGGTAAGAACCTCACGCTAAAGGAAGTCTTCGAGAGTATCAAGTTGACTGCATACGATCTTAGTATCGACACTCTAGATATGCATGTAAGTCTATGACATGAATTATCAGACATTACTTTTGGATGAAAAACATATATTAACCCCGAGCCAGGCTCACACTGATTCGTTCCATCGCTTCGATAAGTTCAATCTTAAGTATAATCCCATTGGTGAATCGCGGTTGAGAACCATTTTCCTCAAGACGGATAACTTCATCGAAGGTCGGTATTTAGCGGAAATTACTAAGGAAGTCATATCCGATCTCGAGTCCAGCAAATACCAGATGGTGGAATGGCGAATCTCGATCTATGGCAGGTCCCTGGACGAGTGGGACAAGCTTGCTGCATGGGTTGTCGATAACAAGTTGTTTTCACATAATGTTCGTTGGCTCATACAAATCCCACGATTGTACGACGTCTTCAAGGCTACTGAGTTGATGGACTCATTTGAACAACTGGTAAAGAACGTCTTCCAACCACTTTTCGAGGTGACCAAAGATCCAGAGAGCCACCCGAAACTTCACATTTTCTTACAGCGAGTTATTGGCTTTGACAGCGTGGATGACGAGAGTAAGATTGAGCGACGACTGTATAGGAAATTCCCCGTACCAAGGGAGTGGAACTCTAAACAGAACCCCCCATATAGCTATTGGATTTACTATCTCTTCGCTAATATGACATCGCTCAACTTTTGGCGCCGCCAGCGTGGCTTCAACACGTTCCTGCTTCGACCGCACTGTGGAGAGGCGGGCGACAGCGAGCATTTGGCTGTTGCTGTACTATGCAGTCATAGCATCAGCCACGGGTTGCTTTTGAGAAAGGTCCCTTTGTTGCAATATATTTTCTACCTTGAACAAATAGGTATTGCTATGTCACCACTTAGCAACAACGCGCTTTTCTTGGCCTACGAGAGGAACCCTTTCTATCAGTATTTTAGACGTGGACTGAACGTATCACTCTCCACGGATGACCCACTACAGTTTGCGTTTACAAAGGAGCCGTTGATGGAAGAATATGCTGTCGCAGCGCAAATTTACAAGCTGAGCCCGGTTGACATGTGTGAGCTTGCTAAGAACTCGGTGAAGCAAAGTGGCTATGAATATTCCGTCAAACAGCAATGGTTGGGAGAGAAGTTCAATTTACCAGGGAAGGATGGAAATAGTATGGTGAAGACTAACATACCTGATCGAAGAGAAGATTTCAGGTATCATACGTGGGTTGAAGAGCACCGTTTGTGAGTACCATGTAACCTATCCTTTATCTTCATGATACTAACCTTTTCATGGTAGGATCTCGAGTTATACTTCTGCATCTGAATTAGACGAAGTTCTCGAACACCATCCAACAATCACTTTAAACCAAAACCCCACGTCGCCCACTTCATCCGTCATGGCGAACTTCGACGCTAATTCTCACGTCTTCAACACGGGGAATCTACCGCGCTCGGGGTCACAAGCTGATTTTGATACTCATACTAACCGGTCTTTCCCGGCTTCGGGGTCTGGGCTTAATATTTCACAGCGGGAATCTTGGTCCCCGGAGGGACTACGTGACAAGGTATATGCCGAGGATGATAACGAGAGCGTTGAGGCATGGGAGCATCCATCGTAGTTGGACGCATGAAAGTGATGATGTGGGTGCTATTCGCAATGCTTCTAACAAGGCTAGTGGGAGGGAGGGTCGGAGTTAGGTGACTAAGATTGTAAAGGAATATATATAGCTTGGTGAGGGTAGACTTTGGCCTAATATGAATATTTGGTCTGGGAATAGAGGTTGCTTTGATCAAGAATAAATCAGGTTTGCTATTATCAAACAAATTTGTTACCGAGTAAAATATGGTATATATATTAGGATAGTGTTGAGACTAATCCCGATATGATATTATTTAATTTGGTATATAGTATATTGGGGCGGGAATATATAGCGTCGCCAGTTGAAGGAATATCAAAGTTCAAAGTTGCTAATGGTAAGACATATAGAACATCTTTAACGAATGTCATTATGTCATAAGTACATGTATGTAGACACCTAATATTGATGCACGTTATGTTTATCGTACATACATGTGCATCTGCATAATACAACCATAAATTAGATAAGCTCCTTTTTGTTATAGTGTATATTACATGCATATACAAACACGTGTATTTACTATATGTAATTAATAGATGTTAGAGCTAGAGAGTATTGGAAGTTGCAGTATCAGCGCCAGCTTTTGGAGTGTCTAATTTAGCGCGTTTAGTAATTCCCAGGTCTTGGTCCTACCTGTTTAAACGAACCAATTCCGCCTCAATCCGATTTACGACCTGCGACCTGCGACTCTCTACATAGTAGTGTATCGACTCTTCTGTCGACCCTCTTGTGTCTCGGCGACTACTTCAAAGTCGTGTTACCTTCAACTTATTAAATATTTCTCTTTCTTTCTCTCTCCATACCCGAAATATAACTCTACTAAGCTACCCGTTGGCGTCTGGTACAGTACCGTTGCGAGGGCATTTGTAACATGTTTGCGTATGGCGACTTCGCAACGTTGATAATAAACCCCTGGGAAATACTTAGTATCCTTGCGCACCTTGCCGCATCTCCACGTTTACACCTAATAATCGTCTAAAGGGAGGCTATCTTTGAATTGTTTTGATTTCTCTCTACACTCTTCAGAGAACTTAACCCCTTTACTTATAGCTGCTGCTACTTTAACCGACAAACCTCTTCAACCGCTTCTCCATCTCGAGCTGCGTGAGCCTCGTCATCTTTTCGGTCCCTTTATCTCGGACGCACGAAACCCTGTAACCCTACCCTCGCTTTTAGTCTCGTATGCGATCCTGATACAACTGTAATCGACCCCCTCAGTAATAGATTCTTTACAACGAAATTTCTCTGCCCACGTTTTCTAGCCACTATGGGGTTCCTAGGTGTTTACAAAGCACTCTACGACTATGCGCCGCAATCCGAGGGAGAGCTATCAATAAGTGAAGGCGATATTCTCTATGTTTTGGAGAAGAGTGCGGATGATGATTGGTGGAAAGCCAAGAAGAGGGCTAGTGCCGACGACGAAGATGAGCCCGTTGGCCTGGTGCCTAACAATTACGTAGAGGAGGTGCGTATAACCACGTCATGAACGGTTTAACCGTCCTTCATAGCATGATGTGCTAAGCTTTTATAGGCACCGCCTGTAGGACAAGCTCGTGCATTGTACGAATATACTCGGCAGACCGACGAAGAGCTGTCTTTCCCCGAAGATGCCCCATTGCAAGTCTATGATACGTCCGATCCAGACTGGATTCTTGTCGGATTTGAGAAAGATTATGGCTTTGCTCCGGCAAATTATATTGAGATGGGTGCAGCCACATCGGCTCCGGCTCCGGCTACGACACGGAAAACTGCACCGGAACCTGAACCTGAAATTGAACCTGAGCCTGAGCCCGAACCTTTACCCGTACCGAAGCCCCCGTCCTTGCCTACGCGAGCCTCTGTTTCCTTTGCTCCTGTCGAGTCAGAAGAACCTCAAAGCCCGCCTCTTCCGGATAGAAACCCTCCAGCAAGAGCTCCAGCGGCCCCTACAGCACCGGGTCCGGCGGCTGCTTTAGCCGGCGTGATGCAGGGCAGAAGTTCTACTCGTGCGGCAACGCCTCCTCCTGTTACCATACCTCCTCGCCAGCAATATCTCTCTGAAGAATCTGATGGCGAACCAAGTCCCGCTCTACCAGTACGGCCACGACCCCAATCAAGTATGCCGAACGAACAACGACGCGCGTCAGCTCATCCGCAACGGTCTTCTAGCCGCCGTGAGTACGAAGATGAGATCCACCCACCACAGTCAGGCCGGATCGCGCCTGGTGGCTTCCATCTATATAACATCAACGAGATGGTGTCTATAATGGGCAAGAAAAAGAAGATGCCCACAACATTAGGCGTAAACTTGAAAACTGGGGTTATTCTAATCGCCCCTGAGCATGTCTCGGACGGCCCAAGTCAAGAGTGGACTGCAGAGAAGATGACACATTACTCCCGTGAGGGTAAGCACGTGTTTCTAGAGCTCGTTCGGCCGAGCAAGAGTATAGATTTCCATGCGGGTGCCAAGGATACTGCCGAGGAGATTGTCAGCGCTCTCGGCGAGCTGTCCGGAGCTGTACGGGCAGAAGGTTTGCGGGAGGTTATCATGGCCGGAACTGGCCAAAGTGCCCAGAAGAAGGGGCAGGTTCTTTACGACTTTGAAGCACAGGGAGAAGATGAAGTTACAGTTTCTATAGGAGACGAAGTCATGATCCTCGACGATACCAAGAGCGAAGAATGGTGGCAAGTCCGACGCCTCAAAAGCGGAAAAGAAGGGGTCGTTCCAAGCAGTTATATCGAAATTATTGGAACGATGACATCGCCATCGACATCGACGTCGACATCGGGAATTAATGCCGGCAGGTCTACCGTAGCGCAGAACCGACTGGAAGAAGCACGCTTGACTAAAGAAGCGCTCAAGAGAGACCAAAAAGCAGCAGAGGTAGGGCCTGGAATGATTTTGCCTGAGAGGCGTAGTAGTTTGTCGGTGAGAGATAATGGTAACACTTCTGGGCAACAGCGAAACCGACGCGAAAACGGCCGATCAGAAAGCAGCCGCTCTGGTTCCTCCTCAAAGCCTAGTAAGTTATACTAATTCGTCCTTATAACATGTAAAATGCTAATAACGGCTCCAGAACCTGATCCGACCAAGGTACGAAGTTGGACAGACAGGTCCAAGTCATTCAGTGTCGAGGCCCAATTTCTCGGGCTCAAGGATGGGAAGATTAACCTACACAAGCTAAATGGAGTCAAAATTGCTGTCCCCGTGGCCAAGATGTCGATCGAAGATATTGAGTACGTCGAACGTATCACAGGGGCGTCCTTGGACGAAGACAAGCCCCTATCTGAAGTTAAGCGCGGATTGCCTTCAAAGAATAGTTCAAACCGAGAGTCTGCGTCTGGTAAAGTCGGTGCGTCTATCGAGCCGGCGAAGCCAGATTACGATTGGTTTCAATTCTTCCTGTCTTGCGATGTTGCTGTCGGCCTCTGTGAGCGATATGCTCAGGCTTTTGCTAAAGATTCCATGGATGAAAGCGTTCTGCCTGATGTGGACGCGAGTGTTCTCCGTAATCTCGGCCTCCGGGAAGGCGATATCATCAAGGTTACACGTTATTTAGATAAGAAGTATGGTCGCGATGGCAAGAAGAAAGGTGTTAGCTTCTCTGGGGACGATGACGATGGCTCTGGCGGTCTCTTCTCGGGGCCAGGTGGGACACTCCGGAATAATACTCGAAAAGGTCGTCCCGCTCCTGCTGTTCAGACTAATGACAATATAGATCCCAAGGCGTTTTCTCAAAAAGATGGTGGTGCCCAAGATACAGAGTCGTCCTCTCCTGCTGCAACTCGCCCAAAGGCTACCGGTAAGAGTGGCGGCGGGTTCGACGACGACGCCTGGGACGTAAAGCCGGCCAAGCAGCAGCCTGAGCCCGAAGCGAAACCAGCTCCGACCCCCGAGCCAGCTCCAGCCGCGCCTGTTCAACCTCAACGACCACCAACGCAATCCATGCAAGATCTTTCGCTCCTATCGACTCCGCTAGAGCCGATCAAGGTACAGCCAACCGCATCCCCTACTATCACTCTGCCACCTCCTCAAGCCCAGCCGCAACCCCAGGTTCTGCCTCCACAGACGCAACCTCAGCAGCCGGGAGCAACACCGGCCTTCTTCACAGGCATCCCGCCACAGCAGACAGGTCTCCCGCAAGCGTCAGCTCAGCCCCTCAATCTTGGCCTTGGTAATAGGCAAAGGCCTACACCACCTCAAGTCACCGGCGCTCAAGGTGCTCTAATGCCGCCACCACCATCACGGCCATTATCGGCACCGCAGTCTGTGCAACCTAGCGGGTTTGCGCCACCTCCGTTACAACCCCAGATGACGGGCATCGCACCTCCAGGACAGAGTCTGAACGACCTCACCCAACAGCGAATGCAGCAGCAATATATGGGCTCCTTCCAACCCCAACCTACTGGTCAAGGTATGATGCCATTCAACACGGGTGTTAGTATGCCCGGCCAGTTTGGACCTGGCCAGTTTATGCAACCTCAAATGACTGGAGTGCCACAAGCACAGAGCCCATTTGCAGACCCTCGTCCTCAACAATTCTCTCCAATCCAAAACCAACCCACGGGCTTTCCCGGTGGTTTCCAGCCACAACAACAGTTCCCGCAACAGACTGGTGTAAACTCATATCTCCCCCCCGCGCTAGAGCCTCAGCGCACGGGTATGCCATCGTTACAACCGCAGCAGACCGGCTTTGGTGGTTTTGGTCAGGGCTTCAATCCTAGCTTAAATAACGCAGCGGCCCAACCTCAACAACCTCCCGCAGCTCCTCTTCTCCCCCAGCAGACAGGTCCTCCGCCCCCCGTGCGTTTCGGTGTTACAGATAAAATTGTCCCCCAGCCTACTGGACGCCGTGCGAACCTCGCCCAAGCGAGTAAGTGCTTTCTCCCTTTTATATGCATTAATCATTGCCAACTAACATCATACAGCTCCGCAGAACCCATTTGGCTTCTAGAAGCCGCCTGTACAGGGCGCTTTGGTCAAATAGCCGTGGTGTAGGGCTGATGATAACAATGGTAATTTATTCAGACACGGGTAGGCTTAATGTATTAGAGCATGAAACTGGTCTGGTCTAGTCGGGCCCTGAATAATAATCGCATATCGCGCCGTAAGAGCCTTGTCTAACATGTATTTATCTACTTCAAGCAGCTCAGAGGTGGAACATAATCTTGAGACTGGGGGGTCATCACAGAAAGGCGCTTTAAGATAATCAAGCAAGGGAGAGTGTCATGTATAGCAGAAGCGAAGCAGAGAGATAGAAGCTGAGGCGGGAATGGAAGTAGACATTGTTTGGACACGGTTTACTTATAAGACAGGAAGAAAGAATGTATGGCTTCTTCTCCATCCATATATTATATATACTTTTAACTACTACCCACCTGAGCCAGGAACACTGGAGGCCGTCTACTGCGTGAACGTCGAGCTGGGATAAGGTGTGTATATCTTGCGGGCTTAAGGGGGACAGCCAATCCTATATAAGAGGTAGAATATGGTAATTAAGTGGATTTACTTTCTTGTCTGATAATAATAATGTGGAAACTATACGGGCTAGTCGTATATAACTACCTGTTTAGTGAGGTTATTCCTTTGGTTGGCGGCGGATGCTATAGCAGCAGCAGCAGCAGCATTTGATGACGGGGTATATAAACCTACAAAACAAGAAGGATTATCACATACGACCATAGGATCTGGAAAACTCGGGGTCCCGTCCGCTCCCCCTTAGATAAGCCAGATACCGCCGGATTAGTAGTTGGGTCGGTGACGACCAGCGAATCCCCGGTGTTGTATGTTTTGTTTTTTGGTGTTTTTATTTTCAGTTACCTTGAGAGTTGGATATCGAATCTACCGGGGTTTTTTCTATCACATTAAACCTTTCTAGGCATGATATGGTTAACAATAATAGAACGTTGTCCTATATTATGGTGGCTAGTATAAGACATCCCTTTTGACGCTATTTTGTGGTGGTAATATCGGGATATTTTTAAACAGTATGGTGGTTTTTACGCAGTCAGACACACAGACTACTATAATCTAAGAAATCGTCAAATTGTTTCAATGACTTAGAATGATATTATTATTTGTAATTTTTCTCGTTTTTATTGATTAATAGTTTAACGAAATGGCATAAACCTCGTTCATTAAGCCTCTTATCCGTACGAATCCTTTGCAAGTTAGGACCAGATACTCGGTTCGGCTAAGCCCCTCTTCCTTCCATATTAACTTCTCCTTTGGAGGGATAATCCAAGTCTCTACATCTCAAACCCGGGGCTTCTACATTATCACCTAGTTGTAAAAAGGCCAAGAGATTGCTTCGGAGCTTTTAGGAGTTAATTATCGCGCCGAAGAACTCAATCGAGAAAATCGATGTTTCCCTACTGGGAATATTAGATTGGTGGGGGTTCATCTGCTTCTTCTCCATCGAGCAAAGTTCGCCGGCGCGGACGAGTCTTTAACTCGTCACTACCTGGTTGGGCGCCGGTAGTGACAGCTTTGCCTTCTATCGGCTTGTCATCGACCTTGGCTTCTTTTTCCTTGGGATCAAACCGCTTGCGGACGGCATCGATCATCTTGAAGAACCAATAGAAGTTCAACGAGTTCAAAGTTATGTTGCTGGCAGTGTATACCGCGGCAAGCCACAGTGGGATGCTATCTGGCTGAGATACAAATCGCATGGTATTCGTATACTGGGAAGGGAATGATGCCTCAAGAAGCTCGCCGGAAGTTAATGCTGTTAGAACGGTAGGCGTCGAGTTTACACCGGTCCATAAGTCACGGGCGACTAAGACAGATTGGTATGTGCCCCATACAAGACGGCAAGAGAAGAAGGTAGCAATAAGTATCAGGCCATTATAGAGTTGCGGCTTGGTTCCAGTCATACCCAGCTTGTCAAAGAACCAATGGATATTGAGGAAAGGCGAAGACAGCTCCCAGAGGATAAAGTTACTACTATAGTAGTTGAGGAACGGGCGCTGGTATAAAAGTTAGCTCTTCGAGCTTAAGTTCATAATTCAGACAATACCTACGAAGCCAAAAGAATAAACTGCCAAAGCACTAACAGCATGTGCGAGCATACCAAGACCAAATATTTCGAGATGGGCGACAGTGATAATGAGGTCATAGAGGAAATAACCCGCGGCGAGAGCTTGGATCATGGCTGCACCGCCAGTATATCCCCAGACACGCTCTTGCAAGTCCATATTCTTGCGCTCCTCGTCAACGAACATAACCCATAGTGCGAGGATATTGATGGTAGTGCTCTGCACAAACGACACGACGTGGACATCCCAGCTCAGCCTCTTGCTCCTGGAGAGGGCTGTATATTTGGTAGGGAAGATTCGGCTCGATAGGAAGGGCGAGACGACAGTGCCGATAAAGAAGTAGAGAGCGGCCATCAAGAGGACCTCGTGAATATGCAGAGGCAGCGTCGGCAACCCGAGGTAGTCAGCCCATGGTTGGACGGCCTTGCTGAGGGCGGGGATAGGAGGAATAGGGAAAGGATCCCTCATGTTGGATTTCTATCCTTGTCGTCGATACGATATGCGGGTTAAGGAAATCGAGCCACTATGGTATCTTAGTTGAAGAATAAAAATTATTAGATAGATGATGTCCTTATACAGGTCATAGAAGGGGGTATGTAAACCCGGGATGGGTGTAGGTAGACGAAGGTAATAGGTAAAAGGTAGGTAATAGTTGGATGATGGGGGTAGTAGATGGATATTATAAGTCGTGGATGACGAAAATAAATTAAATTAAAAAGTGCTAAGGCTGTGGAGGATTATTATGTCAGTCAGCTGGATCTATGTAGAAGTAAGACAAGAGCTGATGAATGACAAGACTTACCCTTCTTATCCTTAGGTAGACAGACTTAGACAGACAATAATCTACTTCTTAGGGGGTGCGTATGACAGGGCACACGTAGCGTTAACTACATGGCACCTGTGCAAGTGGCTAAGGTAGTGGTCACCAGGCGAGGATGGCACTGGACTTGTGAATACACTTGTGAATAGTTGTATTGATTGGTTTTTGGTGTCGGTTGCGAATTTAGGTTATTACATGCGTAGCATTTTGATGCATCTTGTGCATCTGTACATTTATGGATGTTCTATGTCAGGTAACTATATGGAAACTACCTTAGGTATGTATGGATGTATATACGGGGCTTCCTTCCTTTCAGCTGTGCCGGCCGGGCTCAACAAAAATCAAAACGGGTAATCGGCCACATGCAGATTTCGGGACCGTTGGGTACAGGTACAGGTACAGGTACAGGTAGTAGGTACATGATGCTACGTACCCCATACCCACAAATGCACAGTAGAGGTACTTGCCTTTATGTGAGTAGCCAAAGGAGCTTCTAAATTGATATTCATTTAAGAGCTAGCTTCTATAGTTTAGTCTTGGCATTTGTGGCTTAGGTATGCCGGGTCTATGTACCTTGCTCTTTTATGTACATTACAATGCAGGTACATGGAGCCTTTATAGAAAACAACATTCCGCCTAAGATCTTGACTACGAGTACCTAAACAGCACCAAGCTAATACCTATCATTTCTTAATATCTAAATCAACCTCCCAGCCCGCAAGTGGTCAACTGAACTACACCACTGGACAAAATGGCTGATTTGTTTCAAGAGTTATTAAACCCGCCTAGCTCAGCCGACCGTCGTTCAAATGACAAAACTCAGACTGATCCTGTTGCCCTCCAATATCTTTCCTCATTGGCTTCTATGCCCCTTTCTCAATTAGATGGCTTCGAACAGCAATCCTTAGCCCAATCTTCTCATTCACTACACCTCGCCTTGCAGGCCCTTTCTAAACGTTCTCATAAGTCTATCATCAACTCGGCAGCTAATCATGCACACCTTGGTACTACGCTTCCTACTCTAGCAGCCTCGGCCACTGACTTAACGGCCGCGATACCTAAGTTAGATAATGAAGCAGTTCGTTTTTCAACTACTTACCATAAGTCTGGAGACAATGAACTTCTTAATGCTCGGAAGCGAGCCCTGTTATTATCGAGAAATGTCGAACGATTAGTTGACGTGCTTGATCTCCCTACTTTACTCTCTACTGCCATCTCCACAGGCTCTTCTGCCCCGGCTGCAAATTATGCATCCGCGCTGGATCTTAACGGTCATATCCGTCGACTGCATGGCCTATACCCCGACTCACCTTTGGTGGCATCTGTTTCCACACAGGCCGATGAAGCTATGCAGGCCATGGCCAAAAACTTGATAATGGGCCTACGCACACCCGGTCTCAAGCTAGCATCTGCCTTGAGAACGGTCAGCTGGCTCCGAAGAGTCATACCGGATCTTGATACTACCGGCGCCACTGGAAATGGCGGAGGGCTAGGAGCTTTGTTCCTCGTATGCCGTCTGTCGACACTCATCAATATGCTAGCTGCCTTGGAGCCACTTCGTGAGCTAGCGGAACAGGAAAGGATACGGCAACAGCAAAACCCAACAGGGAGCGCCTGGTCTGGAGGACAGCAAACAGAGCGATACCTCAAGCGTTACATAGAGATATTCAGGGAACAAAGTTTTGCCATCATCTCAATGTTTAGGAGTATATTTCCTACGCACACAAATGAGACGCCGTCAAAAACAACCAATAATGACCCTCTACAGCCTGTACCATCCGCAGGATCAACATTCTTATTTCACCTTATCGAGATGTTAATGGAGACGCTCCGGATTTACCTACCAACTGTTAAAGACCAGCCGTCCCGTGACAGTTTATTAACACAAGTTCTTTACTGCGCCGGAAGTCTTGGGCGTCTTGGGGGAGACTTTGGGATCCTGCTAGCCACTATCGATGTCGGAGATGAAGCAGAAGATGAATGGGTCGAGGTAATTAAGCGTCACCGGCTCATGGCAGGTCGTCTAGAATCAATAGTCGGCGGTAAAGAGAAAGGGGCCGCAGAGCCCATCAAGACATAAATACCTAAGTTACTACCATTCCCATTGAGATTTGACGCCAACCCTAGTACTTCCGGTATAGATAACTACCTATACTATATACCCCGAGTTCCTCCATTTCCTGCATATTTAGTGTTGACTCACAAAAAGGATCTAGCCGGTCACGAGGCAAAGATATGGATTTCCTAAATAAGATAGCTAGGAAAGAATGCTCGTGGTTTAAATATACTTAAGCATTATGCACGCATAAAGGTATTTTATGCTTACATATAGCTCAAAAAATCCCTGTACCTTTGTTAAGTAATGCATGTACCTACCCACTTGCCTAAGCTCTCCTAGGTACAAAAGTATGACGTGAGGATTGGCGGGGCTCTCCTTTCAATCGAATTTTTGACGGTAAACTTGAAGTCCATGGAGCAAAAGCTACTAGCACCTTAATAAGCCTTTGACTCAAAGCTGCTATCTTTTGCATACGAAAACCAGCCCTGATCCCACTTATTTTATGCCATGCGGGCAATCGAAGGTCGGATCAAGAGGGAAGAGATATATAAGACTCCTAAGCAGATGGGCTCGCTATAAGTCGAATCCTCCATCTTGGGTAGGATTCATTCGCTCATTTGCTTCATTTGCCTTGTTTGCTTCGCAATGTCGCAGAAGACAGCAGCCGGAGGCAAGTCTTCGTCAAGTAAGCAAACATAATCTTAGTCTTGAGTTGTTATAAATGTCTACCTATCTATCTTGAATGAGGAAGCTGACGGTTCTTCCGGTATAGCCTTCCACTTTGGTGCTGGTCTCGGCTCTGGCACATTAAGCGCTGTACTTCTACAGCCGTTCGATCTTCTTAAGACACGCGTGCAACAGTCAGGTTCACACTCAATTAGAGCTGCTATAAGAGAGATTGCCAAGTCTCCAAATGCATTGACTGCCTTCTGGAGGGGCACGGTTCCGTCAGCCCTGCGGACGGGCGTCGGGTCGGCCATCTACTTTACCACCTTGAATATGATTCGGCAGCGTGCAACGACCTTTTCGTTCGCTACAGTTCCGGCCTTTGATAAGCATGGGTCTTCTTCTTCCCTGCCGAAACTTTCTAATACCGCAAACATGGTATCCGGAGCCGTCGCCCGAGCTTTTGCGGGCTTCATCCTCATGCCATTGACGGTTATCAAGGTACGCTACGAATCAAACTTGTATTCATACAAGTCGATCGCTGGCGCTGCCAGGGATATATACAAAACCGAGCGCATCCCAGGCTTCTTTGCTGGCTTTGGTGCTACTGCCCTTCGAGATGCCCCGTATGCTGGGCTCTACGTTCTTTCGTATGAACAATTCAAAAAGCGACTCAGTGCCTGGCTTTATGTAAGGCCGGCTATCACTCACGCGAAAGCCAGCCTAGGGATGGGGAGTTCTCTGTCTGCTATGATTAACTTCAGTTCCGGCGCGCTCGCTGGTGCAACGTGTTCCTTCATATCGAACCCGTTCGACGCCGTCAAGACGCGCATACAACTGCAACCCCGCCAATACCGTAACATGGTTCAAGCGTGCCGCAAGATGATCACGGAGGAAGGTGTACGGTCACTCTACGACGGACTTGCTCTGCGCATGACGCGCAAGGCGATAAGTTCCGCATTAGCTTGGATGGTATACGAAGAGTTGATTCGGAGAGCAGAGACTACGCTATATTCAAGAGATACGAAAGAGCATGTATAATTACCAAGCCGGCTACGTATAAAAAAAAGCTATATCCAAAATGAAGAAGAAAAAAAATATTAAATCCCCTCTCAAAAAACAGTTCTTATCGGAGATTTCTTTTGCTTGACATGACCGCTCTTTATTTAAAATTGGGTATATATTCTTATTCATGATCGTTTCTGCCTATCCCTGCCCCTGACACTTCCACCTCACCTCGACGTAGGAAAAAGGCGTAACTTCGTTTGTTGACTGCGAATCACAGCGACCGTCCCATCTTCTTCCGTATATGCGAAAGCTAGCTATACACTATGATGGCCGTCCGCCGGCTAGATACATGAGCAATGAAGGGGATCGGCTGCGTCGGCGCTCCTTCTTGCGAACCCATTCGAATTCAGGCTCGAGATGATGATGATGGTGATGTTTCTTGCCTTCTTCGATGCTCACTGCGGATTCTAATGTCAGTATATGTATTTTATCGATGATCCCACGATCCTAGGGAAATCCACAATTGTGGTTAGATAAGTATGAGATGAAATAACTTACTGATAAGCTTGCCAGAAGAGGTAGAGCTGGAACGCTTCTCTCGGATGATCTTGGTGTGTCTCCAGAGCATATCCTGCTCTGGCTCTGCCACCCATCGCTTGATCAAGATGTAATCGGGATCCTAGTTTGCGAGGTTAGGTCTAACATATTGACATGACACAACTGGGGGAAGGGGGTATCTATGCTACTTACGGGGTCAAGCTGAAAGTCGATGTTATAAGCCCTAAGGGTCTCAATCGAAAGATGTCGCCGAGCCATGCGTGTGTAAATCGGCCTATCCTCTTCTTTTTTCTCTTCCTTCTTTTCTTCCTTCTTCTCCTTCTCCTTCTCCTTCTCCTTCTTTTCCTTCTCGCGCTTGATCTTCTCGCCGGCGAGGATGGCGTTGATCTCTTTCTCGTCGAGCCCGGACCTGAGCAGGTGCTCTTGCATCTTGGTTTTGTACTCCTTCTCGCGCTGCTCGGCTTCTTGCTTCTCGCGGAGCTTGCGCTCGGCCTCCTCGCGCTTGTACTTGTCGATGATCTCCTTGGCTTCCTTGTCACGACGCCGCTTCTCCTCAAGCGCGGCTTCTTCAGCTTTCATGCGCTCAAGCTCGAGCTTCTGCTTTACGCGCCGCTCGTACTCGTCGTCTGCCTTGGCCTTGCGGATTGCGTCAAGCTCCTTCTTGGCATCTCGCAGGTCTCGTTCTTCTTGCATAGTCCGGTTTCGCCGCTGCTCTTCTTGCTCAATCTGCTTGGCCAACTTGATCTCTTGCAGCTCCTTGCGCGTACGCTCCAGCTCGTACTCTCGACGCTTATTCTCGATTTCTTTCTCATGTTCGCGGCGCCGCATCTCAATCTCTTTCTCATAGTCTACGCGCACATGCTCGAGCGCAAAGGCATCGCGCTCGCGTTGAAGCTCGAGTTCACGTTGGAGTTCAAGTTCACGTTCATGTTCACGTTCACGGGAGTGGCTGGATGAGACACGAGAGTGCGAGCGGTGGCGACGACGATGAGATCGGGATCGCTTGTACTCGTCCTCGGAATCGGAGTAGGATAGCGATTCCGAATCTGAGTTATTGTAAATGCGGTTGTTAATAATGACGGGAGGTGGCGCCGGCTGAGACACATTGCTCCCAGGAGAACCCGGACGACGATCCCGCGAAACAGAGCGCCTAGTAGTAACCAAGGTACGCTCATTTGTCGGGGTTAGAAACCGATCCTCAACTCGGGGACCAGTCTCGTAGAAGCGGGGCCGAGACCGGTTCGGAGCCTCAACATAATGCGCAAGCGTAGGGGGAGCCGGAGGGCGAGGAGAGGCTGAGGCATGCCGATGTCTCACACGAATATCGAGATCCGAGTCCTCATCGGAATAGGAATTGTATCTACTCATCTCGGATCGAGTTCAGTAGAGGGTATATAAGACGATATACAATAAAATATGGGTAAACGGCAAGTATGTCCAGTAGGACGTAGGTGAGAGAGGGGAATAAAAAAGGGAAAATGAGATAAGGGAGGGAGGTTTCGGGGAGATTCAAGTAAGAACTCAGTAAGAACCACCTTGGATGAGAACTACTTGGGTAAGAAGCAGCTGCTTATAATACGCTTATACCGAAGGCGGGGGAAGCGCTCTTCATTTATCGTTGTTAGAAAACGCAGGCGCGCGCACATGTTCTAATCCACCTTAACTGCTTAGTTATTACTATATTAGGTTATCTTCCAAGGTGCCCCAGGTCGTTCTTACCGATAGGTACTATTTCGACCAATAACGATACCCAATCAAGGTAGTACAACTTGTTACTTCCGTTGTATAACACAAAAGTATCTCTAATACAGCTATACGGCTATACGGCACTCATTACCAATAGATAGATACATGTTGGAGTTGTTACATCCTATCTCGGCCCTAATGTGCGGTACCTTTTCTAGAACAGTATATAGTGTACCTTTCGCCATTTACGAAGTACTTCTAGCGATCAATCCATCGTTGGGGGCCGAAACGGACTTGAGCGACAATTCGTGGATTTGAGGGCATTATAACGCTAACTACATAATAAGATGTTTTATACCTAGTCCCTTGTCCGAGGGGCTGAGAGTGGGGCTCACTTAGCAGTATACACACACACATATACAACTTTTGGAACTTCGTTTATACATACATAACAAGCATCCTATGCAGTTACTTGGGTATATATACCTATGTACCTTACTTGTCTCTGATTGTACCTATTAATAGATAGGGCTAGGAACGAGGTAGGTACCACGGAACTATGTATTTTTATAGTTGTTTCTTTTTGGGAAGGTTATGCGCTCGCTTGCCGTTTGTATACCTATGCAGAAATAGTATACATAACATCATTGATAGCATCAATAGCATTGATAGGTATTACAACATAGGTACTAATTTAAGACATTTTAAAACCCGAAAAGTTAGAAGTGTCAAGTACTTATTACACTACATGGAAGTAATCATTAAAGTGAGCCGCATAAAGGTAGGATTAGTGACTGAATTTAGTGGCGAACCACACATCCCGTACCATTACCATGCTGCCATGCCATCTTCCCTTTTTGTCTCCCAAGAAGTTTATGACTGTAGCCATGTTCCACAAGTAGCCGCTTTGTTATTCGGGTAGGATAGACAAAATAAGCACTGACGCATCACGAATCACTGGTGAACAGCCTCCTTAGCCGGGAGGTTCAAATTCGATCTAATGCCTAGGCAGCTAGATCACGGTTGATTGTTCACCTTCTAGAACTACTAATACACTGCACAACACCTCCGCTTCTTCCCCCCATTTGTTGCGCCAGCGTTCCGTGTCGCGTGATCGGCAGGCCTCCGTGTAGCCAGCGCAGCCAAAACTCCCTCCCTTCTGAACCGGATCCAGAATCTTTGCATTTTACTCTAAGACGCGCCCACACCGCCCCTTAGCATGCGGTCTATCTGGTCCTTACTATTCTTCTGCGAAACCTCGAGGTAGTGCAGCCTCTTGCCGAGCCCGTCTACCTCGCCTTCCACCTCCTTGATCTGGCCCTCTAGTTTGCCCTTCATATCGGCAACGGGCATGGCGACAAACCTGCGTTCCGGTTAGTGGTTACTCATCGGTATACCCGATACGGGTGGCGGGGGAAGAGAAGAGAAAAGCCTGACATCTTGCCGACGCCTTCGTAGACATTAGTGTCGGCTGGAAGCGAGGATATCTCGCTGCGCGTTAGCTGCGCCATTCGCAATTCCCGTTGCTTAGATACTTGTTGCGTTCTGACGAGGGATATCTGCTGCTGCGCTGCAATGGCCTGCGTCTCAACCTCTCGCAGCAACTATATATTGTAAGTTTTGTAAGTGGTTGTATAGTCTTGTCATGAATATTTAAATGACATACCTTCTGCAATGCCTCGTTTGAGATGGACATCCTCCCGCTATGAATTTGATTTTTATTTGTTTGCTTTCTCGTTTTCTTGGACTAATCTCGGCGCACCCTGAACTTGAGATGGACTGTGTATATTCTTTATCCTTTATATCGCGGTAGATGACTAGACAAATAGAATACCTATTAGATTTTTATCGGTTGCTTGCATTACCTAAGGTGCATGTATGGACGTTCCAATGGTAATGCAAGGCAAGAGAGGACTTTGATTGAGATGTCACTACATACAGTGTACCATAGGTACAGATACCTAAGTAGGTAGATATGTATATAAAGGGGTTAGAGCTAAATATGTAGGTTTGCGTGCGAATGGTGGGGTTATGTATGCAGTAACTACAGTGTGACATACGTAGGTACCTAGTTTCTAAGATAAAATTAAATGTACGGAAGTCGCCTTCAAAAGTTTTGTCCATACCAAACACCTGTCAGCCTTGGCCACAGCTGTCGAACAGCTGCTAAGTAGCTTGATCCACTTGGCACTCAAAAATCATGAAGTATATTGGAATCTACCATTTCTTATATAAATAACTACACGACCAAATATATTTTATAAAATATAGCCTTTGGATATATCGTAAATATAAAAGCTCAAATCTATTTCGGCATAAATCTTAACATTATATCTTACATATTTGAGGTTAAATAAATAGATGAAAATGAGGTATAAAAAGGAGTACATTTGGTATTACGGCAGACAGTTGTTGCCAAGACTTGCCAAGCTGACAAGGGCCGACCTATGGACAAAACCTTTGAAGGCGACTTCCGTACAGAACCCGATGTCGTACCTAAATTTCGTGGCCATATCACACTGTAACAGTTACAACCCGATAGAATTGACTTAACTTATTCTATTTATTCTATTAGGGTTCTAGCCTAGCCTGGAGCTATCAAGCTCCACATAGACGGGCTTTAGAGTATACCCTAAAGTAGACGTTCGTCTATATTTTGTAAGTCACCAAAACTGAACGCTCGATGTGATGCCTCTAATGTTCGTAATCGCCGAATGGATATGTCGTCTAATCTCTATTCGAGTACGCTTGTAATCACATCAAATATCGCTGCTATCTATCGCTGTCATCTATCGTTACCGTTTATCGCTAAGTAGCATATGTGGAGTATAGTGAGTTCTCGGGTGGGCGTGTGCAAGAGTATTAGGTATTTTGATCGTCTAGCAGGGCTGGCGTGCTCTCTATTGCTTTTTCTTATCCGTTACGTCCTCTAGGGCGACTACTTCTGGCATCCGGAAGATCGAGGGCCAGACAAGTTGAAATTTATCCTCATCACCGTCTAAACAGCGGTGGATCCAAATGCGCCAGACAATGTAGAAGTATGCTAATAAAGACAGTCATGTTAGTGGGGAACTAAGGTCATCATTTATACTTACCCATTATTCAGGATAGGGATTACACTTACCACCTATTCCAGTCACTATAGGAGAAGATATAGGATATTAGTAACTATCCCCTAGATAAAAGCATACGAGAAACAGGGGGTTTTCTAACTCAAATGCCACCAAGAATGACCTTCAAGGACGACTGCCCAGGGAAGCTGGAGTTGATGCCGCCATTTACGAATCGTATTGCAGTACATATTATCCAAGTTCCAGATAAGATAACCACCGAGGAATATGCTGAGCCCTAATGAAGAAACCGAATCGTTAACATGTAACATAACACGATTGCCAATCACGTTACTATCAATGGCTTACCTGTTGCAACCAAGACCCACATCTGTCTTATCATCTCATTGGTTGTCGGTAACCTCGGAGCGCGAGCTTCTCGTTTTCTACCTTCTTCTCTCGCCTTTAGGGCCGGCCGGAGTGTTCGCTCCATAATCCACATGTTAGAGAAGACCACCGTGGCGGTCAATACCGCATAGGCGTCTTGGTGGAATTGAGGATCCTTGGTTTTATAATATCTTGTCTAGCAATCCATTGTTAGCATGCCCAGCTGTTCCATGAACAGCGACAAGGGGCAAGACGAACAGTTATAAACCACGAAAGCCAGAGAAGGCCGGTACCAAGGAGGGAGGAAAAGCGAATAGATCTACCGTATGTAAACGTAGCGAAGCACATGAAACAGGTCGTATAAATCATGGCAAGTTCGTCCACTAGTTGCATAGGATCTATCAAGTGTTAGAGCGCCGTGATCTGGACGTTGAGAAACCTGCTCCATCAGTTGTCCGCTGGCTTACACTTAAGAGTAGCATGGAAAAAGGTAGACCCTAGGCCGACCACTATGTATCCAGCAAAAGTGACAACGAAAATCAGAGGGTGTGAATATTTTATGCACCCTCGGATGCCTTTGAGGCCTAGCCATACGAAGAGAGCATTGGTGAAGGTCTAAATGCAACATGCCGCACATAATAAATTAGTCTCCGAAACGATGCATTCTCCTCGTATATATCAAGCTCAAGGGGGTGAGGATTATGACATTAAAAAAAACCCCGAGAATTAAAAGGGAATAAATAAAGGGAAAAAGGAAGCCTACATTGCAGACTTCGGCACAATAGTAACTCATAACGTAGTCCTGAGATTTAGTGTTTAGTCTTATACTCTTTTGACCAGGAAGAGTATGTATATATTTCACTCACCTCCTCGCAAAAGTTCAATGTAGAAGTTTTCTCTCCCCAGAAACCATGCCGAGGTTCATGGTAAGGAAAGCTTAAGGCCTCGATGAGGCTCTGCACAGACATGTTTTCGAGGTAGGTAAATCAACTTATAGTTAACATAAGTGTCGTTGTTAGGGAACTAGTTCGTCTTATTATATGAACTTATGAATAAGTTGCTATAGTTAGAGATAGGTGGGCGTGTCTCCGTTGAGCTTGTCTGGGTAAGAATGAAGAGAAATATGGAATGGGTTGTGTAAGTTGCGTAGTGTTGAAGAAGTGTGTCTCCGGCACTCCGGTGAGAATCAAGGTAGTGTCGAACCGTTCTTACTACGTACCTACTTTGCATCTTACCTCTGAACCTTATATCCGTACTCTTATACTACACATGCTTTTTCTTACGTAGGTACTTACCTTTATAGTATAGCTTATTACCTATTACGGCAGATACAGGATTAATCTAGAAGAAAAAAACATGTGAGTATGTGCAAGTATACCTAACTTATTAAGGAAAAGCTTTTGGGGACCCCTAATTTAATAGGTAGGTACACAGTCGGTCTCGAAAAGTAATGGCGCAGTCTTGGCATTTTCTTCCAAAAACAACACCATATAATATATGTAAAGAAAAGCACAAAAGAAGATAATAAAAAATAGAAAAAAATACCTATTGACTTTTTGGCTTTTATTATTATTATAGGTATTTTTTATAATTTTATTGCTGTAAAAATGGTGGAATTATAAGTATATTAATATGGTATATTAAAACGTTATTAAAAATATATGTTTAAAGTTATATTTCTAACGCATTATTATCCTAATAAAAAAACTAAAATGATAAAAAGGTATAATGGCCTTTTTCAAATAAAACGATATATATTATAATTTTATTACTATTTATTTTGCTTGTATAACTGGTGATTCTTTAAGAAGGGTTAAATGCCAAGACCGCGCCATTACTTTTCGAGACAGGCTGGTACATAGTACAGATCAAGCAAGTGCATACCTTTAGAGGTACCTTAGGTAATCTAAGTACATGCATGTATGTAGTCTATATGCAAGTATCCAGACTCGATCAATTAAGATGATGATATGCAATATAGCGGATAACGTATCGGACTCTTTTTGATGACGCCTTGGGTGTTTTCTCTTAACAGAGCAATCCTCCAATTTAGTACCGGCTGACATCTTCTAGGCGTTTGAAACAAACAGCTCCCTTTGGTTGGTCTATTTCTAGTAATTCATGACTGCCAAGATTCACCCGCAGAATCCATCCGCATTAGTTAGAAACTCTTGCGCGAAAGCAGTGCCTCGTATTCTAATACGACAGCATATCCGGCAACTTATACGGACTGCCACCATCTTACGATCTGTCTAATTTATAGCTGTCTTCTGACGACAAGAAGAACCAAATGCAACCCCAATTGGAATTCTATAATTTCTACTCTTAGTAGATCGGTAGGACAGATCTAGGTTTCATCATATCGTCGCTGTGACACGTCAGCAATCAGCGCATAACGCTCTGTACAATGCGACGGCTTCCTTTCCGGGACTGCTTGGAAGAACGAACTACGTGCGACATAACCACTCGTTAAAGATTATCGCCCTAGTTACAGCGTAGGCCCGAGAGCCTCAGATATGTCAACTCCCCAGAAGTCGTCGAGATGGGGCTCCTTTTTGTCCCAGGCTGTCGCTGGCGTCGAGGCTCGCCTTGACAATATCCTTGCCGAAGAGGATGCGGCAAAGCAGTCATCACCGCAACGCCCGACCAGAACATCATCGACGTCTTCCGCTACTACAACCAGCGTTCCAGCTCGGTCTACTACGCCTTCACGATCCTCTAACGATCGACTGCAAGAACGGCTAGCTCGAGCTGTCGCCGCAAGGAATGCCGCCCAAAAAGCCGATGCCTTGCCTGCTAGATTAAGTTCTGAATCAGCTCCACCGACTCAGAGTCCCCGTACCAGCACCGATATTCCTTCCGCAACATCCACAGTACAGTCTCCACCAAATGCCGAGAAGACAGAAGACTTGAAGGATGATACAGTTAGCGAAGCTCCCGCTTGGTCTACACTTAGCGACGGGGCTTCTGTGAGTCTGCCGGCGCCAGCAGTTGATGGGCAAACTACGAAAGACGACTTGTATACCCTACCAAAACCTGATCGCGAAGTTCAGGATGATAAGCCCGAGCCACAGACAATCGAAGTTGAGGAAGAACCGTTGGAAACCGAAAACACCTCGGCGTCTGCGGCCTTATATGAGCAGCGCATTACCGACCTAGAAAAGACCTTAGAAGAGGCCAATATGCAACACCAGGAAGAACTCCACAGCCATGTTGAAAGGGTTGATGCTCTACAGGCTAAACTACAATATTTAGCCCGGCAAGCATCAGAGGCAGCAAGAACCGCTGCCGCTGCCGCGCCGGCGGGTAGCGCAGACAAAAACGATGCTGAGAAGGACCAGCAGATTGCTCAGTTGATGGAGGAAGGGCAAAAACTGGCAAATACGGAACAGAAACATAGAAGCATAATCAAAAAGTTAAGAGGCCAACTCGTCATGGTCGAGAAAGAGCTTAATGAACAGAAACTCTGGCGTCAGAAAATGGAGACAGAGCTCAGTGCTCTACGCAAAAAGCTGCACGATCAAGGTGATGTCGAGAAGGCGAATTCAGATTCACAAAAGCAAACAAGCCAACTGAGAAGAGATTTGGAAGTGCTCAAGGCTGAAATTTCTTTGAAAGATAGCACAATATCCGAACTTAAGGATCGGCTGCAGGAGGAATCCGACCGAGCTAAGACGTTGGCTTCCAAGGTGAACGATCAGCTACGAGAAGCGGGAAAGAAACATGTAAAAGAGCTAGAAGAAACGGTTGCGATGCTAGAGGTAGAGAAGAGTTTAATAGCCGACCGTGCGAAGTTACAAGCAACAGAACTACAAGAAAAGGCTGACAGGGCTGCGGAACGGTCTCGTGCCGTAGAGTTAGAACTCAAGAGCGAAGTCCAGATCCTCGAGAGTAAATTAGAAGCCCTTCGGATTCGAGCAGAAGAGGCTTCAACAGGCGCTATAGGGGATGCGCAGGCAAAGCTACTCCGCCAGATAGAGACTCTTCAGACGCAGTATTCTATTGCTAGTGAGAATTGGCAAGGGATAGAAGCATCTTTAATTGCAAAGACTGCGGCCTTGGAGAAGGAACGAGATGAAGCGTTACGGCGCGAGTCAGAAATGAGGCGGAAAGCCCGGGAGACGGTAGGTGGTTCGCACCCCCTGAATCAAATGCAATCACTAATGCTTAGGATCAGGCTTCTCGAGCCAGACATCAAGAAGAGGAGTTGGAAGAGGCGAGAAACCAACTACCCAGCGTGCAACAAGATTTGTCCTCGCACCGATCGGAAATTGAAGCCCTGCGCAAGCGGGCCGAAGAGGCGGAGGCTTCACTAGCTGAAGCGAAGTCTGATTTTGAACGGCAGCGGTTAGCATGGAAAGAAGAAAAAGCAGAGCGGACAGATTCAGACCGACGGAACTGGCTAGAAGATATACCAACTGCTGCCTTCCGTAATATTAGTCGTCCAGAATCTCCTCTATTAACAGCGCCGCAGAGAACATTTAGCGGTGAGTTCTTAGGGTTACAAAATTATCCAACAAGACTACGCAAGACATCGGCACCCTCTAGTAATGGCGACCCGAGTCCTGGTGATCGACCGGGATCGGCAAGGCGGCCATCAGGACAACCTCCTATGCGGTCACCTATGTTCCCCTTCTCCTCGGTACAGTCATCGGGGACACCGCCATCCCTATCCGGCGGCTTGGAGATATTGGCTTCTCCGTCAGCACATGCCATGGATAGGGATGATGTGTTTGAAAACGAAACACCTGCATCTCCTCACAACGTATTGCAGGATATGATGTCGGTATCTACTATGACAGCAGGGCCGTCTGTGCAACTAGTCGAGAGGATGAGTGCTGTAGTCCGTCGATTAGAGAGTGAAAAGGTAGCAGCTAAGGAAGAGCTTGCCAGGATTTCAAGCCAACGAGACGAGGCTCGCGGAGAGATCGTCGTCTTGATGAAGGAGATGGAGGCCGAAAAGGGGGCCAAGAAGAAAGTAGAAGAACTAGAGAAGGAGGTGGCACTTATCAACGAAAGGTACCAAACTACGTTAGAGATGCTCGGGGAAAAGAGCGAGCTGGTAGAGGAGTTGCGTGCAGATGTGGACGATGTCAAAGCCATGTATAGGGACCTCGTGGAACGCACAATTAAATAAGGAGGCAGTGATTCGTCTGGGCCTTATATTACGCCTGAATTGAATCTCTTGGGGTATAAGACATAGTAGAATACTATGAGTAGCGTGCTCGATCAATGACGAATAGTCAACACCCATATGAGCTAATTACAGGTCGATTCCCTCATTTTCTGCCCCCCGCTCAATGTATTTGCGAACCTCCTTGTCAGGTGCAAGATCTAACGCGAGATATCCGTCTGAATCTCGCTTGTCAAACTCGGCGCCAGCCTTAAGCAGGGCGACTGCGGTATCTCCTGTATCTTGTTAGACATGCCGCAGGTGTCTTATGGTTATAATTAATTATAGAACGAAACTAACCGTGACCTTCAGCAACCGCATGATGCAAAGCTGTGTACCCCGAATTATCAGTCGAATTGAGGGGGCTTTTATTTTGTAACAGCAAGTTAACCATGGGCACCGAGCCGACGGCTGCGGCTCGGTGAATCGGATACTGGCCGCGCTTGTCCCTGACTCGGGTGGAGGCCGGAGGCTTGTGATCTAGGAGCTTACGAGCTACCTCGAGATTGCTCTTAGAAGCAACAAAGTGAAGAGCTGTCTGTGATGGTATTAATAATTGGTCTATAAGTTCATGCTGACATCTTAGCTCTGTAACGTACCTGTCCATTATAGTCTACCGGAATTAGCTTTTGAAATATTGGATTTGGGCTGGTTAGGGGTAAGGCTTACTCTTCTGGTTTACATCGGCACCTCTTGAGAGGAGTAACTCGACTACTGCGTCGCCGTCTTTTACACTTGCAGCGATCATTAAGGGGGTCCAGCCACTAGCATCCTTAAGACGTTGTTAGTTGTATGAAACTGAAGCCTAAAGATGTGGTACGAGGCTAAGTAGGAAGTATATCTACCTCCGTGGCCAATAGGTACTCACTTCAACGTCCGGGTCGAAATCTTTCTGTTGAGCCAACATCAACACTATGGGTTGGTTGTTCGCAGATGCAGCCCAGTGTATAGGAAGGCGGCCGTCATCATCTTTGAGAAGGGATAGCTTTGGATCTGCCTATTGAGCTCCTTAGCTATACTAGACTCTCATTAAAATGGGTTAAATCCATGAGCTTACGTTTAGTAAAGACTCAACGACGGTGACTGTCAGATGCGGGTTTAAGTTAATAAATCAGCTTATAAAGAGACGAGGTGATATATAATATATAAGGGAAGCCTTACCTTTGCCCTCCCTTGCCGCAGCATGTATGGCGTATCTTGACTGGTCGGAAGCCATATCGTACACTGGGGATCACCTAGGATAAGTTTAGGTATAGATTATAATTATGACACGTTTACTAGAGAAAGTGTTTGTTAAGGAATATAAATACCTACCTCCTAGGTAAATATGGTTTCTCTTTGGTCCAGGCTCCTGAGGTACAGCGTCATTCACATCAAGCATCCGAAGTATCGAGGTACCTTTAGTAAAGTATAAGATAGGTAAAAGTGGATCTATATGTTACCTTAGGTACATAGTCTTATGCGGGACTTGACATATATTCAACTAATGAGTTATACGGTATACATCCAGTCTTATCGATAATGCTTGTTAACTTGTACCTGGCTTAGATCCAATAGTTACATCAATCTAAACATTTGTTTAACCATTTGCTTCAAACTTTTGCCATCATCTCTATTATCAACACTCTATAGTCAGCCAACACGATGGAGGTCGGCACCCCCGATCTCAAATCTCTTGTACTAGAGAATGCCCGACGCTCGAAATCTCTATTCGCAGACCCATTAGCCCGCGAGTCGGTGCGCAAGAAAGTCAAACTGACCGACGACGCGCTCGAACCCCAACGCGAGAAAGACGCTCTATCCCTCCGCATCCACGCCGAATACCAATATGTACGAGAACTACCTCCCGCTCTCGCCCAGAAGCAGGCGAGTGCCATGAGCTCCAGGAAGAAGGGCAAGAGGCCAGCTGTGAACGAACCCCCGGCCGCACCAGAAGACCAGAAGACACAGAAGCTGATCGAGGGCATCGCGCAATCCTCCTCGTCCAGTACAAACAATCTCCCTTCAAACTCCAACGCCCTAGTCCATCTGCAGCGACCTCCCGCTACCTTACCTGGTTCAAGCACCACCACATCCCAATCCCTAAGCGTCGCCCGAGCGCAGGCCACGCATCAAGCCAAGCCCGACTGGCATCCCCCATGGAAGCTCATGAGAGTAATTTCAGGCCATCTAGGTTGGGTGCGCGCCCTAGCCGTCGAGCCGCACAACCAATGGTTTGCTAGCGGTGCCGGCGATCGCACCATTAAGATCTGGGATTTAGCAACAGGGAACTTGAGGTTAACTCTAACAGGCCACATATCCACCGTGCGAGGCCTCGCCGTATCCCCTCGACATCCATACCTGTTCTCCTGTGGCGAGGATAAGATGGTAAAATGTTGGGATTTGGAAACAAACAAAGTGATTCGGCATTACCACGGCCATCTTAGTGGCGTGTATACCTTATCATTACATCCTACTCTCGATGTTCTAGTAACAGGTGGACGAGACGGCGTAGCCCGTGTCTGGGACATGCGCACACGTAGCAATATCCATGTGTTATCCGGACACAAGGGCACCGTAGCCGATCTCAAATGTCAAGAAGCTGACCCGCAAGTCATAACCGCGTCTCTCGACTCCACCGTGCGCCTCTGGGACCTTGCTGCAGGCAAGACCATGGGCGTCCTCACACACCACAAAAAGGGTGTCCGCGCATTAGCCCTCCACCCCAGCGAATTCACTTTTGCGACCGGCAGCACCGGCAGCATCAAACAATGGAAATGCCCCGAGGGCGCCTTCATGGGCAACTTCGACGGTCACAACGCCATCATCAACTCCCTCGCTGTTAACGAGGATGTCCTGTTCTCCGGCGGCGATAACGGTTCCATGAGCTTCTGGGACTGGAAAACCGGACACCGATTCCAGTCTTTGGATTCTATTGCCCAGCCGGGGTCCCTAGACGCCGAGGCGGGTATCATGAGCTCAACGTTCGACCGCACGGGACTGCGGCTTATTGTCGGTGAGGCAGATAAGACGATTAAAATATGGAAGCAGGATGAGAAGGCAACGCCGGAGACGCATCCGCTCGAGTGGAAACCTACGCTGGGGAGACAAAAGTATTAATTAATTAGTAGTCAAAAATTGCATAATTTGTATTTTATTGCTCGCACTTAGGAGTGTGTTTTAGTATAGACACTCCGCGCCACGAAGGACGGAAACAGATGATAACTATCAGGGGTATTAACGTCGTAAATCTTGTTTTTAGTACTATCTGTACATTAAAATGCTATACCCAGCGCCCGAATCTCAGGGTCGTCTCGAAATGCGAGCTTAATCTCTTCATCACCTACAGCAAGCCTGATCTTGCTTGGACGTTCTGCTCTCTGGCCTTCAAGAATGATGATTCCAGCTCCAGTGAGATCAACCGCAGCTGTACTAATGCCTGCCGGTCTAGGGAGCTTTTGCTCCTTCTTTCGTGTGTTCAAGTCCGCTTTGGAATCTCTATCCGTTGTATGTCTCAGTAAACCAACTCGACGGCTACCGGCATCTAATACCAGAGCCCGGTTCATCTCCTCCATCACATCGCCATAGGTACTATCAGGCAAACCCGTCCGTTCGTTCCTCACTAGTAGGGACACGAGAATTAACTTAGAAGCAAACGGGAGCGCTCGTAGGTATTGCTGCAAGGGACTTGTGGTCGCCTCGTTGATTGCTCGCTTAACTGTCGCTATCGTGACCTTACCCCGCGAGCTCTTTGTTCTGTCTGCTTCGCCCGTTTTTGCCTTTGCCCTCTTACTTGGAGTTCCCGGGTCAGGGTCCGAGCCCTTGACATCAGCTTCAGCTAGCTCAACAGCTCGCCGGCAGATATCGAGAGCGCGCCGCGCATCGCCACTCACAGCAGCGACTTTGCGGCTGGCGAACTGAACGGCATCTGGTTCGACAATGTTACCCGGAACACCCTCAAGCCGCGACTGGATGATCTTCATGAGTTGTTCGTGGTTGTAGCCTGGGAATGTGATACGTGTTAGGCCCAGACGACTGCTAATTTTGTTGCTAAGCGTTCTCTCCGGCAAGTCCATCGTGTTAGCCACTGCCAGTACAATAAGTCGCGAGTGTCTCAGCCCAGGCCAGTTGAAAAAGTTATACATGACGCTTTGGTTCTTAGTAACGAGTTGGTCGAGCTCGTCCATCAGGACAACACAGGGGACTCGTCGAGGGCTCGGGTTGTTAAACTCTCGCTCGAGGAGATCTAGTGCCTGGCTCGGGCTGACTCGCTGTCCCTTCAGAGCTTCCCAGAGGAGGGAGTACGATTGGTGCGGGTCGGTTATCTTCATACCATTGATTTCGACGAAGATAAAGTCGTCTAATTCGTCGGATCGCACCGCTTCGTCTAGCTTTGACACCACCTCTCGTACCGTAGCCGTCTTCCCCGTTCCTGGAGTTCCAGAGATATAGATACAAGCACCAGAGCCATCAGTAATAGCAGCCTCGAGATGCGAGTACACTAAAGAGAACTCAGATTCTCTGCAAGGTAAGCTAGTTGGTACCGATGCAACGTGTAATTGAGCCCTTGCAATCTGGAAAGGGGAAGACTGGTGGTGGCTTGGCGAAAGTATTCGGGTAGCAAGTGGAGTAAATTCCAATGCCTTTTTCACGACAACTCTAGTAGCCTAGGTCAATAACACATTATCCCAATTTCCAGGATATGATGGATTACGCATCCAAGTACCTACCTGCGGTTGGATGGTGTCATAACTTGTTTTGTTTTCTGCCTCTTTTTCGGCGTAGTGACCGGTCGAGGGGCGCCATCATCAGAAGGACAATCCTCATCTCGCTCTGGCTGGGTAGCCACATAGTCCGTTTCTCGGGTAGATATATCATGATTACGTCGCTTCCTTGTCGACCTCGTCCCGCTCCGTACCAATTCTAGAAGGTCATCCACATCTCCTTCCCTACCGGAATAGACGTCCTCCCATATAAATTCTTCTGTGTACGTCGCAGTCCTCGTATTACATCCTCTCTTGCAAATGAAGGTCTTGTTGTAGCCTGGTGAATTACGAGGGACCTTACCACTGGGATATTCCTCCTGAAACTTCTGTTGGGACATGACCACGGCTCTGCCGTTGATAGAAGCTAATGGATTAACATCAGTGGATGGTGTGATGTATAATTCATTCTAAGTTCAGTACAATTAGCAAGGGAAGAAGGGAAGCAGGGAGGCGTATAAATTAAAACAAAATACCAACCGGTAGGAAATCAGTTCTCTTCCGATCGCTATTTCGGATCTCTTTCTCAGTAGAAAACCATAGGAAATTAGCTGCCTTATCTCCATCCTCGTCGGCTTCACGGAATTCGGCAACTATAGCGACCCAGGCCTCATTGGAGCCATCAGCCTTTAATAGAACACAATCACCAACGTAGCATTCGAAAGTGCCCATGCGAGCACCCACTATGCCATGATGAGCATTCCTCTTCCTCTTAGTAGGCGACCCAGATGACTCGGCTTCCCGGTAAATCCACTCCCAGGGGTGATCATCAACACCTAACTCATCATCCGAGTCATCTCTGGCGACCCCCTTAATGACGTTGGAAGACCGGCGGACCATCGGGAATTACTAATTAAAATCAAAAGGGTGCAATGAGAATAAGTTATTACAATTCAAAATGAGGAAACGTTCTAGAAACCCTGCTTACTCAATCAAGTAATTGATTAATTGGTGGGCATTATAATAAAACAAGTGTCGGTAGGTGCACTTGTAAGTGGACAGCAGACGGCAGACAGCGGTAACTTGCAGATTAGACGCGGCTTTTCGTGTACGGCAGATTCGCGCAATCACGTGACATATTAGTACAATCAATTAACCCGATTAGGTATAGCTCTAGTATGCCGACAACATGGTAGAAATTATATGAATCCTCATTCATGAAATTGAAAATAATAGAAAATATCTATCTAGTTGATGTTTTTCTAATGTTTGCTCATACATAGGTATTATATAAACAAAATATGTGGTACAACGTAGCTCTTTGCCTTGTACACTACATGTACAGAGCGGATACTTGCATGTGCTACGGCGTCATGCAGTACGGGTACAAACTCAACTTACATGTACATTGTAATCAAGGTAGGCGCCGCCTACTCATAGAGCCCTAAGCAACCAAGGCAACTACGGCAACTACCGATTCCTACTACTTTATACGTCAACTACAATGTCGGCATTTCAAAAATACATATATAGTTGTCCGTCTTTAGATTCCATCGCCAAACTATTCTAACCAGTTTCCTCGAACTTGAAACCCACGACATATCTATAGAAGCTTTGTCTCATAATATTAATACAATTTCGACTTGACAGGTTTATGCCTTTGTGACTTTTCTTCATTTGATTCTAAAAACTTGATACTGGAACATACATCTATGCTGCAAGCTACAATGGAGTCCTTGATAGACATGTATGTGTCTTTCCTATCTTTCATAATTAGTCATCTTAAATCCACGAGCGAGAGACTAACTTGTGACTTGTCCTATCTTTAACAGTTCTGACTCGTCCAACAACGTTGATTGTGGCGGTGATCCGGCATATTCCTTAGACTTACTTCTTCAAGGATCAGACAACGAGGAAGCTGCACTCCAATACTTACCAGTTCTTCATCCTGGTGCCTACAATCCCTCGACCTACCAGCCCTCTGCCATGATTTATCCACTCAACGCAACTGGTAACACCTCGAAAATAGATGCCAACATCACTAAGATGGACGACACGCACGCAAACATCAGCACCCCCGACTCTCAGCCGGCACCTACTAAAACAACTACCCAGACAGACACGTCGAGTTTCGAAGAAGAACCCAAGCCGGTTATCAGCCTGCGCACTGCATCCAAAAGCGCGCATAGCATGGCTAATCCTACTGAGAAAGTGAAGGTTTGTAACTCCGCCGATAGCTTTCACTCGTATGAAAATAATAATAGCTAATACGGTCTTCCTTTTTTTAAAACGTCAGGTCAACTTCATCATTTCTCACACCCCGGAAGTAGCTTCGGGGGTAATCGAGGCCGTATACAAAGAACTGAGCCGAGCGAATGACAATCTTGAACTTCGCCAGACCCCCCAAGGCTCGTACATGAGAATCAACGGCCTTGCCAAGAACATCAAAGAGTACATCAACTTGGTACAGGATGTGGCTAAGGACTTGATCTCCAATGACTCCATCAAAGGATCTAATGTTTTCATGGAACCTCCGGTTGAAATCGATAGCACTACTCAGGTCCTTCTATACACCAACCCTGTATCGGGCGAAGTACGGCCAATGCTACAGCCAGGACAAGATGCTGTTGCCGGTCTGCAACTTCTAGAGACTCCTGAGCAGTATAAGGCGAAACTAACCGATTATCTCTACAAGTCGCTAATCAAAGCCGGCCGTCTCAAGTTGTCATTGACATTAAGAGTTTACTTAGGCCAATTCATATTGCGAAAGTACCCGAAGAGCAAAGAAGTGTATGGGTACAACGACTTTCATACCATCTTGAAGAATCCCCGAGCTTCTGGATGGCTAAAAAACTGGTGAGTACTTGGACCTTGAAGATTTATAAAGTTAGCCGGTGTCACTAACGATTGAATAGGATCGGTGACGAGACATTGGCTAAAAGAGTCCTAGGTTTTGTCAGGAACAGCACAAACGGTCCATTCAAACCTATTGGCAACCAGGCGGCCGTAGCAGCGGATGTTTTACCGCAATATTCTCTCGAGATGCGCTCTGAGGGGACCAAGTTTGATGTACCGATCAGAAAGAGAACTGGGGAGAGGTCAAGAGGTACGATCATTTGTCAGCTCTACCGCGTAACTTCAAGTAAACTTGATGCCAACCCTGCCGAGGCTAATATTTATAACTTGAGCCTTGGAAAGTAAGTCTACTACTAGATAATGAATTGGTATGACATACAACCTGACGCCGCTACCAGGAACCTCGACTGGCAATTGGAAGGCATCGAAAAAGACAAGGGCGCAAAGACATTCCCTGAAGTTACCCAGTACTTAAGATCCGCCAAAGCCGAACTATTAAACTCGGAGCGACCTCACGACCTTAACGTCTATCCAAGCGTCAAGCTGGAACCCTTCATCGCGGTGGAGAGTAAAATCAAGTATGTCGCGGTCAAGACAATCTATCAATTCAGATGGAAGGCCACAACGTACATTGTCGAGATCGCAGTCAACCACCGATGGGACAGCATCAATGCCATGAGAGCCAAGGCAGTGCCGAAGATCGAACTTGGAATCAGCATCTTTGGAGAAGACTGGGAAGAGGAAGATGATATGGTTGGCAACGTCTGGGGCGATGAGTTGGAGTATATACTTGAAGGTCCGCGAGGTGAAACGACGCCTAAGGGCCCTGATAGGGTTGACCATTTCCTACGGACAATTGGTAACATTCGTGATGCCCTAGAGCACCTCTTCTAGGGTTGCCATTTCAGGTTCGGACCATGAGTTATGATAGAAAGGATGTATCAAAACAGTCCCTACTTGTTGATAGTTTGGCGCTGGGGCTTTGATGCTTGTTAAGAGCTAAAATCCATCAAGGATATCTCACAGCTCTTGGCCGTTTACGATGGTGCTGTTTGCTGCGCTCCACCGACCATTTTTTGCCTCAAAACTAATAGTTTCGCGAGTTGTATTAGCTACTAAAACGGAGAGAAACCTCAGATTATGATGTATAGAGTTAATAATACCTTCTTCGACAACCCGTACGTTGTTAGTTTTGCCCTGCACAATTACTTCTAGATCCTTTATACTTGCTCCTAACTCGCCCACCTTGTTCTCGTAGAAATCTGCCGCCGATTTGATATCCTATACTCTCATGTCAACAAATTCGTAGTCCTAATGGCCATGCTACACGTGCTTCTTACCTTCTCGACGTAAAAGCCGGTGCCAATGTCGACGACGACGTGGGACGCGTCAGCGAGAGTCCCACGCACGTAGAGGGAGTTGGTAAGGGGGACGAGGATCGCATTGTTTTCTATAATTTCTTAGATTTTGAATTCAAATTCGCTTTATCATCATAGCTAGTCCAAGCCGAGCAATAGCAATAGCAATAGCAATAGCAATAGTAATGGTGACAGCGGACGTACCCCGTAGAGCGGGCGACTTATTTTTATCCTGGACGCAGCGTAGACATTCGCGAAACTTGGACTGAGCAGCGTGGAGCTGGGTAAAGGACGACGTCAGGTGCTCGAGTTCTTCGTCGAGTTGTTTCTTCACCTGGCTAAGCTGCTGGGCGCTCAGGGTGTCGAGGTTGACTGTTGGTTTAGAGATGGAGGGGTTAGTCAATCAATCAATCCTATATCTATCCATATCTACTTGGAATAGAATAAAATGAAGATATAGGAGTGGAAATTAACATACTTGTTTCGCCGTTACCGCTAGCCATTATATAGTCTATGGTCTGATATATCAATTGCCTTGCGGAAAATATAAAAATTATAGGTTTGGGTTGGTTGAATAGAGCTCAACTTTGTGTAAATTGAAGATGTGGTGGGGGGATGCTTCTATGTACTACTACAGTTGTACCATGTATACGGCAAGAAAAAATGGGGCGGCTTTTTCATATAACTACGTCCTATGTGTAGTTACCTAACTCCTAACTATGTGTTACAAAGTTAACTATTCAAGTTACAGCACTCGATTAACGCAGTTTCATTATAATCAAAGTTTCATATTTTTTTCTTCTATCGTCTCTTTTAATATATATTTGTAAATCGTGCAACTAGAATATCATAGTGCCAACTGACTTACACCAGGTAAACGTGAAGTTATATGATAGTAACAAATCGAACCCAGATTGCGCAGTAGTCCCCTTAGTTTGAAATAACTATCCGTTCTAGCTCCATATAGCTGGACGGTAAGTAAATATGTTCCTTTGTTTGTCTCTAGGTTTAACTTCCCATTAAAAACAATGAGTCTGGTAGGACTCGCCTTGAATGCATCCTAGCATATGCTATCTATTACGAAGAAAATATAGTCCTCTATCATCTGCAGAATCAGAAATGAACGCTCTCCTCCGCACCATTGGCAAGACCGTTAGTTTGCTTCTTTTGTTGTCGTATCTCCTGGATAACCTGGTCGAGGCAGCCAGTGCTCGCAGCCATAAAACCGAGGTACGTAGGCGACGGAGCGAGAACGCGAGATGTAAACTCGGGGTGAGCCTGGACTCCAACGAAAAAGGGATGATCCTTCAGTTCAACCACTTCCATACGCTTTCCTGATTCATCCTTGCCGATGAAGTTGAGCCCGGCCTTCTCGAGCTCCTCGATATAATCAGGGTTGACTTCGTAGCGGTGCCTGTGTCGCTCTTCCATAATGGTGGAGTCTCCGTACAAAGCCCGAAGTTTACTCCACTCACTCCCGGATTGGAAATGTGTTGCTTTTGTACCGAGTCGCATTGTGCCGCCCATTATTTCTTTTGACCCTTCTGGCATGAAGATGACAACACGGTGTTCGGCGTTGGCATCAAATTCTTCCGAGGTAGCACTCTTGTAACCACACAGATTCTGAGCAGCTTCTATAACGGCGACCTGCATTCCAAGGCAGATTCCCAGGTAAGGGATCTTGCATTCGCGTGCCCATTTTGCAGCCTTAACCATCCCTGCTACACCTCTACCACCAAACCCTCCCGGGCAGATGCCTATATTGAATTAGCCAGTAGCACGTTAAAGGCACCCGGAAATATTTAGATGGCTCAAGGCCTACTTTCCGAGCAGCCACTATATCAGGATAGATTGCGTTCTAGCTCCCTTGCAATGAGGATGACGAATATTAAATTACTTACAACCAGAAGCAACAGTAAGTTGTGACCAAGCCTTATGATATATGGTAGGATCGCTCTTCAAAGTAGCGTCTTCAAGGTGCTCTGCATCAATCCAGCATAAGTTTAGCTTGCGATTGCATCGCATTGCCGAATGTTCTAGAGCTTTGATCACAGAGAGGTAACCTAGACATGGTACGTTAGTTTTCGCTATTCTAGGGATAATATACATCTTGACATAAACGACACCTGTGATTCAGTAGACAAAGTTATAAATGAATTGGCGATACTTACTATCAGGAAGTGCGATATATTTACCAACCAAAGCAATTATTACCGGCTCCAGGTATGGCTTTGTCACGACAGTCTTCTTCCACAATTTCCATAAGTCTTCGCCTTTGCTGACCAAGGTCGGAGGGATCGATAATTGGTCTAACATCAAGGCTTCGCGTAGACGGTGAAGTAAACCCTGGTCTTCGAGGAGCAGTGGTACTTGGTAAATAGTCTCGATATCCCGAACGGTAACAACCTGCTTGAATTCAACTTGACAGCTTCGGGCGATCTTTTGGGTCGTAGCTTCGTCGAGAGCGCGCTCGCAGCGGCAGGCAATCTGCAGGTGCTCTTAGTTGACAATATCACGCAATACCCCATTTTGGTACTAACTAGGTCTGGTATTAAACCGGCGCTTCGCATCTGTTTGATAGCATGCTGTGTAGGCTTGGTCTTCTCCTCGCCGTGGATAATGGGCACGTAAGAGACATGTATGTTGACCAAGTTTCCTTTGCCAACCTTATATCTGAATTGAGTTAATGCTTCGACGAAGGGCATACTCTCAATATCGCCAACAGTGCCACCCTATTATGAGCCAATTAGATCTGTAAAGTCAAAGCCGATTGCACAGCTAAATGATAATAACTGCAGTGTAAAAACGTACTAATTCAACTATAAACCAATATCAATTAGCGCCTGAAAATTCGCTAGGGACCATGAATACATACTGATACAGACATCGGGCTCTTCGCTACTATCGTCGACAGGTATCCTCGCTACCCGCTGGATCCAGTCCTGAATGGCATCTGTGATGTGAGGTACAACCTGGACTGTGCGACCTATGTAGTCGCCCTTCCGTTCCCGTTCGATGACGGCCCTTCAGGGGAGTTAGTGTAAGGCAAAACTAAAATAAAATAGCAGGCCAGCGTGACGAACTTGTAGATCTTGCCGGTTGTGATGTTGTTCTCGTTGGTGAGGTTAAGGTTCAAATAACGCTCATAGTTTCCGAGATCAAGATCGGATTCGCCTCCGTCCTAGTTCCTATTAGCATGCCAGTAACGATACAACACTGAGAGTCAGATTTCACCTTCAGAACAAAGCACTCCCCGTGCCTTCAAAATTAGATTACTGTCAGTATTGCAATACATTTATCGCCTCAGGTATCTCACCTACTCGAGTGGACCTAATGTACCAGCGTCTACATTCAAATAAGGGTCGATTTTAATTGCCTAAGCCACAATCCCTAATTAGCATATGATCGTTAAATGACACGGAAAAGTGCATGCTCATAGTTCATACCGTAACCTTAAGACCTGTCGTCTTAAGTAGGAGCCCAGACGAGGAAGCTTATAAAAGTTAGCAGAGACAGAATTATAAATGATTCATTTCTCGCTGCTATACCTATTATGCCTATCAAATAATCAAGTTAGCAGCTGAAGCCGACTTTAGTTTATTTTGTCATCATTGTCGTAGTAATTAAGCCAGTTATTAGGGCAACTCAAAACAGATGATTCGGGAGAAATTGTAAACAAGAATGAAAAGGGTAATACCTTTGCCAATGCCGCTGATGACACCGCCGCTAACTAACACGTACTTCATCTTGCTAACTTGCCGCGAAAGCTTGGAAAACGTAGACGTAGACGTATGAAACCGGCGTCAATTCAGGAAGGGCTACCTATTACTAGGCTTGGATAATATACCTAATAGGAGGAAAGGGAACTGTTAGGAATAAATATAAAAAATATAATTATTTGGAAGTTTTGCGGCAAGTCTGACTCTGCAGCAGGCAGAATAATGATACTAAAAAAAAAAGTTTATCTGACTTACTACTAAACAAGCTTTCTGACAAGTACCCCTCTATCGATAAGGTGACTTTAATTCTTTTTTATTCACGTTAGGCAGGCGGTAAAAGATTGACGTGGGTGAATAGGTGAATACTGGTACGTACCTGATGGAGGGGCATGGTAGACCCTGGCTTCTCTCTTCTTGGTGGGGTGAGGGGAGGAGGGGTGTTCCTAAGTCGCGAAGCAATTAATTCGTAGTATCAAATGTGACTCAGGCTCACACCAGCTTCATATAGCATCCAACAACCATAAATTTTCACACTTTTTACTACCCAAACGCAACGCATGAAATCGAATGAGCACTAATTCTCAAGTTGAGCATGGCATCCTCAACAACGAGTACCCCGTCGGGGGATCTCGCCTCCCGCATTCTTCAGTCCCTCGACCAAACCTCGCCGCTCCTCTCGTCCGAAGCCTTTCCGGATGCCAGCTTCGTCGAAGTAAAGGCTGCTCTAGACCGATTGGCCTCTCGTGATATGGTGACCTACGATACGATAGAACGAGAAGAAGCTATATTAGAGCCTGAGGGTGAGCAGATTGCTGCCAATGGTAGTCATGAAGCTCGCGTATTCGATGCCTTGCGCTCAGCCATCGACGGCCTAACCGTGCAGGACCTAGAGAAGGTTATTGGCGACAAGAGTGTTGTTAAGATTGGCCAGGGCAAGGCGTTCAAGGAGAAGTGGATATCGAAGACGAAGGGTAGGTGTACAGACACCATTCCTACTAAGCTGATGCGGCTAACAAACTGGTACAAATGCAGATGGCAAGTTCAAGGCTATGCAAGAATCTATACAAGATGTTACCAAGGAGCAAATGTTAACCATTAAGGCGACACGAACATACCCTGACGCTAAACTACTTGCCGATTTGAAGAAGCGAAAACTTATCAAGATGCAAAAGATTATTAGCTTCAAAATTCATAAGGGCACCAAGTTCGCCCTGAAGATCCCTGAAGAGGCAACGGACTTAACTGCCGACATGATAAGTACGGGGTCGTGGAAGACTGCTACATTCAAGCCGTACAACTTCAAAGCTTCAGGAGCAGACCAACGGTCAGGTGCATTGCATCCACTCAGCAAAGTTCGTGCCGAGTTCAGGCAGATTTTCTTTGAGATGGGGTTCGAGGAGATGCCCACCGATAAGTACGTATTTCCAATGGTAGAAGATTCGTCCAAGCTAATATAGGCTTCCTCTTCAGGTTTGTCGAGTCTGGTTTCTGGAATTTCGATGCCCTTTATGTGCCACAGCAACACCCAGCGCGTGACTTACAAGACACCGTATGCAACCACCTTCTTTTCCGCCATCATATATTGGAGGATATTTATGATATGCTTTAGACCTCCTCTCTCCACCATTAATAGCTCCTAACATTTTGCTGGTATAGTTCTATATTTCCGATCCTGCGGTGGCTGATAAGCCTCGAGAAACATCGCCTGATGACAAGAAAGACTACAACGCCTACTGGGAGAATGTGAAGGCGGTTCACCAAGTATGTGTCCTCTATATAACATCAGCTGGACCCTCTAAACATTCGGGAGATTGCTAATTTACGGGACATAGGATGGCAAATATGGTTCAATCGGCTACCGATATCCTTGGTCGGGGGACGAGTCACTACGATTGGTGCTACGTACTCACACGACAGCTATCAGCGCAAATATGCTTCATAAACTGGCAGCCAGAAAAGGCCCAGATGGTCGCCCACCTCCAGCACGCTATTTCTCCATAGATAGAGTGTTCCGAAATGAGAGTGTTGACGCAACACATCTTGCAGAGTTCCATCAGGTCGAGGGTGTCATCGCTGACGCAAATTTGACTCTTGGTGGCCTCATGGAGGTGAGCGTCTATACTTACTAACTATAACAACAAAGCGAACCTATCACTGACTGTATTTAGTTTATGGATATCTTCTTTGGCAAGATGGGTATCACTGATCTCAAGTATAAGCCAGCCTATAACCCTTGTACGTACTCTTCCTCCAGGTCTACTCTGTCCCTATTTTTTTTAATAAGACCGTGGATGTCATTCCGGGATTTCCAATAGCTTAGGTATATATCTACGTTTTGCTAATATTTACTTAGATACCGAACCTAGCATGGAAATCTTCTCCTATCGTACGTGTCTCGCCGCAAAGGCGCATTATCTTTTAATCCCTTTCAACTAGATACTAATATGTTATAATAGATAAGGGCCTAGGCAAACTTATTGAAATAGGGAATAGCGGAATGTTCCGGCCCGAAATGCTCGAAGCTATGGGATTCCCGTACGTATAATATCCTCTACTTGTTTTGCTATTCTCTGGAACTTCCTTCTTTAAACGATAAAATTCTTACTTTGATTATAGCCCGGATACACGCGTGTACGGCTGGGGTCTATCTTTGGAAAGGCCTACCATGATCAAATATGGAATCTCCAATATTCGCGAACTTCTAGGCCACAAGGTAGATCTGAAGTTCGTCCAGAGTAGTCCCGCTGTACGTTTAGATAAGGATTAGAAGGAAAAGTTGCGTCTTTTCCCGATAGAAAGAAGCCTACCAAGAGCAGAACCAATAATATCCACTATCTAATGTCTCGATAAACTTCATAGTATACAGTGGTACCTTTCCTGGACCAGAATAGGATATGCTCCCAAAGGGGATATCTTCTTTAGGTAAACTTCTTAATGTAAATATAACAGACATGTGGGAGTTAAATCCACCGGTAACTGCACATGGGCAGTCAAAGGGTTCATGATCGATATAGAAGCCGCCTATACTGCTCACGTGCATAATTTTTTTTACATCGCTATGGTTACATTTATGTCACGCTTACAATGGTCTACTAGTTCAGATTTTGTGAAGTGCCAAAAAGGGGATAATAAGGTGGCCCATATCTTACAATAAGAAAGCTCCGATATGTAGGTAATTTGTATTCAGCGCTGTTTGAGTGTTACTACATTGTTGACTAAGCTCCTGGCATTGGCTGGTGGTGCTTAGATATAGATTCTGGCGTCTTGTCTGAAATACAATATTGGTCAGGAGGGTCAATATAGGTGGAGAAAATGGGTACTGTTTCTGTATGCTCTGGTGGCGCTATGTATAAACAAAACTGTTCTCTTTATAAACTTGTTAAGACAGGTACGGCATGTTAACTTCTTAATTGCTTCATCCATGCACGCAGCTTCCTTCCACAAGACTCAGGGCTAAGGTTACATAAGATAAAGGTGAATATAGCACAAATGCAAGCTTTATTGTATAAGTTAGAATAAGCGCCGCCTATTGTACCGCTGGCGGCTTGATAAGATTTTCACTGGCAGATTTTAAAATTGCTTTTGTGGCCTTGGAAATGAAGAGGTAGTGTGTATTTAAATGATTTGGGTTCGTGGCGAAAATTTAATTTCTAAAAGCTGTTCCCGCAACAAGCTGGGTTATATGGGATTTTATCTAAATGATTTTCAAGCCTACCTTAGGCCCAGCTAGCTCAATGGTAGAGCACTGGACTTCTATTTTCAAACGTTATCCAGAGGCTGTGGGTTCGAGCCCCACGTTGGGCTTGTCACTAATTTTTTCATACGTGTTTAACATAATTTTTTGAAATTCGGAAATTATTAAAAATTTTATATTAAATAACTATAAACTTTCGTTAAAATATTTCATTAGTAAATTTTACTTTTTTATTTTTATATAATTAATTATATTTATAATATAAAAATTGTTTTTAAAAATTTTTATTTATAAATTAATTTTTATTAATTTAATAAATTTTAATAACGATTATTAACCGTAATAATAAATGTATTTTTTTATAAATTATTTAAACATATTTATTTTATTTTAAATATATAAGTTATAATATTAAAATTTATATTAAAATAAATTAAAACTTTTATATTTACGATATATATAAAAGTTATATTTTTTTAAAATATATTTGGTTATAATGTCATTTATATAAAAAATGATAAATTTTAATATATTTAATAAAAAATAAAACAATTTTTTTAATTAAAATAAATTAATTAATTAATAAATAATTAATCGAAAATTAATTATTATTATTTTTTATTAATAATTTTTTAATAAAAAAAAGTAATATTATTATTATATTATTATTATTTATTATAATTTATTTATATTATATTAATTGTAAAGATTATTTGTAATTAATTTATATATTAAATTTATTATAATAATAATATTTTTATTTAATTAATTTTTAGTTTATAATTTAATTATTACATAATATTTATATAAATATAAATTTTTTAAGTTTTTTAACGTATAGTTTTTTTAATATTTAAATTAAAATAGTTAATATTATTTTTTTATATTATTATTTTTATTTTTATTAATTATAAAAGTATAAATTTATAGTTTTTAATAAATTAATAAATATAATAATAATTTATTTTTATTTATATATTTTATTAAATTTATTTATTATTTTTATAATTTTAATTAAACGGTTAATAAGTTTTTATTATATAATTTTATAATTTATTAAAACTTTATTTAACTTATTAATTTTTAATTATTTAAATTATTTTTTAAAATTTTAATAATTAAATTTTTTATTATAATAATATTTTATTATTAATATTTTCTATATTATTATATATATAATTAAAGTTTTTAAAAGTTTAATATTTATATATGGTTTTATTAAAATAATAAAACTTAAACCAATTACCATAATTTTTTATTATTATATATTTTTATTTATAAAATAAATATATTTTATATGTTTTTTAAAACATATTATAAAGTTATTTTTAATTTTTTAAACTTAATAATTTTATAAATTTATAGTATTTTTTCTTTAAAAATTTAATAAATCCATTAATTAAATTTTTTTCTTATTAATATATTATATTATAATATAATTGGTTTTTATTTTTTATTTTATATAATAATAATTTTTTTATATATATTATTTTTAATAATTTAATATTAATTTTTTAATTAATTAATTAATTATTATTATATTATAATATAATAATATAATTAATTTTTTAAATATATATTTTAATTTTTTTAAAAAATTATAAATTTACATTATATTAACGGTAATAATAACGAATATAATATATTTAAATTTTGTTAAATTTTTAATAATAACTGTTTATAATTTAAATAATTATAACATAAATATTTTAATTATAAAAAATATATAATTAATAATTAAATTTTTAATAATTAAATTTAAAATATAGTTAAAGTTTACCGCGTTATATAACCCGATTTTATTAAATTTATAATATAAATAATTCTTATTAAATATATAATATTATATATAATATTTTATTATATTACGTAAATATTTTATTATTTTTTTAATTTTTATTATATATTTTATTATAAAATTATTTATAAATTATATTTAAATTAATATAATAAAATTAATATTAAATTTTAATAAATAAATTAAAAAATTTACTTTATTTATTAAAAATATATATTTAAATATTTTATTTATATTTATATAATTATTTATATTATAAAAAATTATATTTTTTTATATTTTTAAATTAAAAGGTATTTTACTTTATTTTTATTTTTTTAATGTTATATTTTAAAAGGTTTTTTTAATATATTATTTTTAATTAAAGTAAAGATTATTAATAAAAATAAATTTTATAATTTTTATTTTTAAAAATTAATTAATATTATTTAAATTAATAATAAAAACGTTTTTTTATATATTATTTACTAATATCTTTAATTATTTAAAGTTAAATTTAAATAATAAAAAATTATTAATATAAAAAACTATTACATTTTCCGGTTTTTTATTAATATAAATAACATTATTTATTTTTATTAATATATATCTTAACTTTTTCAATATTATTTAAACTTTTTATTACTATATAATATTAAACTACTTTAATTTATATAATAAATTTATTATTTTAATAATTTTTAATTTATTAAAACTATATATTTTTTTAAAAATACATTTTTTTTTATAAAAATATTATTTTTTAAATTTTTATTAAAATATATTATTATAAAATTAATTTATATAATATATTAATTTAAAATTATAATTAACGCCATTAATATTTTTTATAAAACCGTTTTAACTATTATAATTTTTATTTTATTATAATTTATTCGTCGGAAACATTTTTTACGTTTAAACTTTTAAAAATTATTATGGGAAACTAATAAAAAAATGATAAATAATTAATAAATAATTAATAAAAAATTAATAAATAATTTTTTAATAAATGATAAAAGATTAATAAATTAGTAAAAATAATTGGCTAAAATTTATTAAAACATTTAAATATTTCTAATAAATTTTACCGTATAAGCTTATAAATATGTAAAAACGCTTGCGCGAGTTTACAAGTACATGCGTTTCCTTAAATTTTATTTTTATATAATATAAAATTTTATATATAAATATATATTTTAAATTTATTTAATAATTATATATAATTATATATAATAACATAAAATTAAATATATTTTATTATAATCTTTTTTTATAAATAATTTTAAATTATTTATTTTATTTTTTTTTATTTTATTTTTTTAATATAAATTTATTATTATTTATTTAAAATATTTATATTATTTTATAAAGTTAATAAAATATTTTTAAATAAAGTTATTTATTTATATTTTTTTATATTGTTTTAAAAGATTATTTATAAATTTTTTATTATAAGTAATAAAATTAATGTATTAATTTTTAAAATTAAAATAATTGTTTAACTTATTTTTTTAATTAAAAATTATTATAAAAAATGATTTATTTTATTTAATATTTTATAAACGTAAAAATTTAATATAAATTTTTTAATATATTTATATTTATACTTAATGTGACTTTTTTATTAATAATATTTTTATTAATAATATTATTATTTTTATTTTTTATATTAATTTTAAATATTTTAATAATTTTTTTATAACGTAAATATTTTTTAAATTAAATGTTTTATTATTTTTAATATATTTATAAAAGAATATATATAATATAATAAAATTTTTCTTTTTTTTAAATATTTATATTATAAAATTATATTTTGTTTAATAACTTTAAAATATAATCTTTATATTTTTTTTAATTTTTTTAGCTATTATGGTTTGGTAATTTAAATTAATTAATATAATATAATAATTTTTAAAGATTTAAAAATAAATCTTATAAAATTTATAATTTTTTTAAAATTTTAAATATAATTTATATTTTTTTAATTTAATACTTTGATTTTATTAATAATATATAATTTTAAAAATAAATAAATATTTTTATTCTAATATATATAGTTTAAATTTTATTTTATAATTAATAATTTTTTTTTACTATTTTATTTTAATAGTAAATTCATTAATAATTTATTTTATATTTTTTAAATTAAAATGGTATAATTTTTAATATTAAAGGATTAATTTATCTTTTATTTTATTTAATAATTTAAATAATATTTTATAAATTCATATAATTTTTTCCAATTTTTTATTATTAATTTTTATATTTATCTTTAATTTATATTTTTTTA